GTCTGTTTACACTGTGCCTTCTCCGCTGAGGTCACAAAGCCAAATTAGCTTCAGTGTGTGTGCCAAGCTGACATAATGTGAATTGTTATAGCTGACACTGAACATGTCAAGCTGCTATGCTGTGCATTGTGTAACTAAAGTGTTATGGTTTAATTTCATGCGTCTCTCCTCTTTTTGCCTCCGAGTGCATTCTAATGTTTTTAGATCACAAGCAGTGTAAACATTTGCCATAAGAGCCAAGAGCTATGCAAAGTTGAATGCAACATGTGCATCTTAAGAGACATTTGATCCATAAACAGGAAAAATGGCTCAGAATTAATTTCTCCAAACAGCCTTCTCCCCTGTCTTCAGATGCCTCTCGAGGATTCGGTTTTGATTTGGCTTTTAAAGTAAGCCAGAACTCAGTTGTGGGTGTTTGTGTGCATGTGTGTGTGTGTGTGTGTGTGTGCATGTGTGCGTGTGTGTGTGTGTGTGTGTGTGTGTGTGTGTGTGTGTGTGTGTGTGTGTGTGTTTGCTTGTATGTTCCAGACTGACTTTGATGGGACTAAACATCCAAATTGATATTTGCTGTGTGTCTGGCAGCAAGTCTTTATATTTGTGTGTTGAATGAAACCAGAGACAGAAACCAGAGTACTTGCTAGGCTTTTTGTGTTTGTGGGGAGTTGGATTTTATTTTTTAAGAATATACGTATGAGGAATAACTATACAACTGTTTTTAAATTGAGACTTTAAAATCCAGAATAATAAAAGTATTTCACAGATCATCTAAATTTGAGTTGAAATGAAGGTGGTGTAGATATAATAGTTGCATAGTTGTGGGCTGTGTTCCTTTTCCATTTCACAAAGCAAGCTTGATTGATTGCACGTTGAATTACTAATATTACATGATATATTGTTCCTCCATCCAAACCTGGTCAAGAGCAGGTTTGAATTGACTTATTGAGTCTGACTTATTCAAGTTCATGAATTAAGAACAGTAGGATATATTGTCTGACAACTGACGAAATTAAAATACTGAAGCATTTACAGTAAATATTCTAAAATGTAATGAGTGGAGGATAAATTACATTTCTCTTTAACCTACCAAATTATTTCATTCAATATGCTGAAATCAGCATTTATGCAATCAAGCGTTCTTTACCAATGAGCCTCATTCCATGTGAAAGTATATCAAAGAGAATACATTTGCTATGGTAAGTGCAGGGACAGGAGAGAGGGAGGACTCAGGCCTAGACCTTCAAATACAAAGAACTTCATTTAGAGTAGGGAGGCGAAACGCAGCAATACGTGCAACGCAGACTCACCGACAAAGAACATTTTGACAAGGAGACAAGGGACACACCAGCTACACTGGGAAGGTGCAGGCGATCAGACACAGGAAGAAACAATCGGGGACACGGCAGACAATCAAACACAGAGGGGAAAATACACCAGGGCAGGACGTGAAGTGAGAGGCAGGAAACTGCAAAATATAAAAGCTTGAGGGTGAAAACAAAAAGGTGTTTTCAAACTTTTAGCCGTCATTGTGTAGTGTGAATGTATAACATGTTGGACTGATGCAGTTGGCAATCAATTCTGCACGCAGCAATTTCCACATGCCTCAAGGTCTTTATTTGTGCTTTACTGTCCACGCTTCTCAACCTACTTTTCATATCTAGCTGGAGTGGGGCTGTTTTTCGAGCGAGGTCCCTAAAGCAGGTCTTTCTCATGATAAGTGACAGCGGCATGCAGTTCCTTATTTAATAAGAACATTACATGTGATTCAAGGGATTATTTTACCTTAATTTAAAGCTGCACCAGGAGACACTTGTATGAAAACGCATCTTGTCATCTGACAGTAACTCAGCTAAAGTGGTTTCATTGAAAGCTTCGGATGACTGTCTGTTGCATGTGTCTGTTAAACGAGCAGACGCTTTGCGTCAGTGCACGCAGGCCCACTGTACTTAGTAACTATGTGTACCTCAGGGTTTGAGGAGTTATGCCGAGCTGCTGAAATGAGGCATAGCCCTGACTGATGCTGCCGGCCTCTCGGCTCCACACAACTGGCTTTCCTATCAGATAGACAGCCTGACAAAATCCAGACCCCACTGTTTCCGCTACACTCAAAGGCACGCCGACACATGGACGCATGCACACACCGACGCACATACAAACACACACACACACGCGCGCCCACGTAGGAAAACACACTGTTTCCCGGTTTGTTCTGCTTGTTTCTAACTGGATTGTTTGTGAGATAAAAAATACACTGTAGCTGAGTTGGGACAATAAAGTCTGCGCTCTCAGAAAGGCTTTCAATGTGTTGCGTGTAATTGAGAATTGTGAGACTCATTTAGTAAAATATTATAACTTTAGAATCTGTCATTCTAAATAAACAGCAAACTGAATAATGATGTTGACTAAGAGAGACTATTCATTGTCAAGGGAATGAGCACCGTTTGTTACTGGCATGATGCTTCTAGCAGTAAAAGCATCTGTGATTTGAGTTATAGTCAATGTGTCCGTTTGTGAAGCAGTAGATCATTTGTATTATTTCTATTTGGAAGAAATCTTTTCCAAAAACAGAAAGTGCTTTTACAGTACTCTACATTCTCAATTTCCCACCACACCACAGATAACATAATAATAACAGCTCACTCAAACTGAAGCACAGACACGCACACACACGAACACATGAAAAATATGCATATACACCGAGATTCGCTGTGTTTTAGTAACGCCATTTCCACTGAGATCACTGCTTTTAGCCACGGGGCTTTCTAGTGTCTTTGTTGGGCCTCTTTGATGTTTGGCCTGAGTGAGCTGCAGGTTCCTCGACACAAGCAGGCTGAATCCGGCATCCCTTTCACTTTGAAAGAAGATGCCATGCTCATGTCAGGCAATACGCCGGCCAGTAATACTACACTTCTACCTCAGGCTGGCAGCTGTTGTTAGTCAGTGCAACCGAAACAGAAACCGGCAAACTGACCCAATTAACCATTCAAATTATAAATCGTTCGCCAGGAGAGGGTTGTATTGTTTGTCATGTTTTTCTACAAGACAAAGTGATGGTTAGCCGTGGCTTGGTTAGTCAGTGCATGCACCAGCTCGTCAGGTATTGTTTCGCAGACCCAAATATCCCAAAATCCCAAAGACATTCAATACGATTATGATATGCCAAAGAGAAGCAGCAAATACATCTACAAAAATGATTCCTATAGTTAATTCTTTCTTTGATTGGCTAATTATTTCAGCTCGTTCCACTACATAAAGTGATTCATAACCAGCTATTTAAATTGATAATACCAAATACATACAGTTATGTAACTTTTGAAACACTTAGCACACATTACAAGCACTACTTTCGGCCTCATCTGTCAACGTATCTCTAGCAAACGCTGCTGTGGGTTTGTCTGCTGCTTGTTCAGAAGAATCAATAGAACAATTCTCCGGGAACCAAACTGACACATAAACACAAAGACGTCACTCTGCTGGTGCAGGCGGCTGTTAGACCCGACGGCAGTGAAGAAATAGAAATATTTTTAGCATCGTTTGGCATTTCATGATGCCTTCGTGATGTGTGTGTGTGTGTGTGTGTGTGTGTGTGTGTGCATGCAGGGCTGCTAGCTGTGTCTTGGAGCGAGGCTGCTTGCCTTCTGCTCAGATCCCAGGTGAGGAAAGACCTGGAATCGCTCATTCAGACAGCCACATCTGGCGTTGCTTTCTCTGTCCTGCTGCCCTCGACTGCCCCTGCGAACGGACGCCACTCTGAGAGGGAAGGATTTATGATAACAGCAGTTTGGAAAATAACGTTATAGGTGGTCAATAATGAGACGGAGGACAGTTTACTTAGTAGACGTGCACTTCCGAAGAGCGCTGCGTGAATAAAACAACCCTTGTTACCGCTAGCATTGTTTTTCTTTTGAGGCTTCGTCCTGCAGTTACTGGCAAGCGAATGAATGCCAGGTGCAACGAGCGTTCTCTGCTCTCTTCATTCGCACTGTGGATTACACATGAACACTACTGGAATTACAGAACGTATTTGCGCTTGTTAAGGGTTGTGACTGGAAGCCGGACGGTTTCATCTCTCGCGTCCATCTATGAAGTATAATACAGCCTCACACCTTTCACATAACCCTTCGGTCTCCAGCGTTGGACGGACCAGTCAGCTGGCGAGGTCAGCTGGTGGCAAACCCACAGTTTAAGGGCAAATGTTAGCCAGAACCAGGCGGGCACACAGTCCTCATCTGTTTCCCGTTGAACCTAGGAAGCAACGGTCAGTCGTCGGGTTAATAGTCGCATCGACGGAATTTACTCCAAAACGTATTCAATGTCAATACAAGAGGTATCCGACAGCTGCCACACATTGAATTGCAAACACTTTTGGCACTCTCACCATGTGCCGGCATCCGTGGTAAGGCCCTTTACCGGCCGGGGAGAACAATGTGTTTTGATGGAGACAGCAGACGCAGACTTGAGTGAGTAGTCAGCTGCGGAGGAACAGCAGGAGTTCCTGATGGGAAAACCGTCTCGCTGCGTTCACACTGTGTGTTGTGGAAGACGAGAATGACACAATGTTCAATATCTGGCACATGGTAGAAGATTGCAAAATGAAACCCAGTGGTAGCTCGCAGTTTATTCAAAATACAGGACACGCAAAACTTCCATCCACAATGCCGCTGGGAATGGTTTTCTTCTTTTGTAGATATTAGTACACATTAGAATTTACTGAGGCAGGCCAACGTTTTCATGCGAGACATGTGAGAACTTGTTGAAATAGACAAGCCCAATGTTTTTTCCAATATATTTTTTCACTTGATTTAGCTTGAATAGTGCTTTATAACACACTACCCCCTAACCAGGCGTGATTATTAGTCTGTTCTTTTATTTTGGTTAAAATGTAGCAATTAATTCAGGCAACAACTAAAAAGCAGAGACGAATGAACTCTAGATGTTATGGTACTTCAAAATGTGTAAAAAGAGTCAAAGTTACAACTGCTTTGTGGGTTTCTCCCAGCCAGGTCTTTAGACAAACTGTACAATTTTGCCAACTGTGCCGGTCTGCACCTGATCCTCGGTCTCAACGCGCTGCACAGAAACCCAGACAACTCCTGGAACACCTCCTCGACGCTGAGCCTCCTCAAGTACGGCGCCGGCAAGAAGTACAACATCTCCTGGGAGCTCGGCAACGGTCAGTACGGATAAACACCACGTTTTGCCTGCTATTTAACCAGTTACGGTGTTTCCCATACCGGTGTATCGGGGGGGGGGGCAAACCGCCCCCCGGAGAATCACGCCCCCACCCTACCTGACTTAATACACATTTTAAATCATTTCCATCAGGGATTTTTTATTTCCAATCTCTTCCAGTTGTTTAAAAGGTGTTTCATTTAATATTTCCTGGCCACGACAACTTTGAAGGAGGAGACATTAAAGAGATATGAACTTGAAGTGAGAGTCCAGCAGTTTGAGGGTTAAAGTTAGGGTTCACTCTGGGATGAAAGGGGCTGCTAGTCCTCATGTCAGCCTAACCATCAGGGTTTGTGGGGAGTTGCAGTGCACATAGAGCCCTGCGCGTCTCATTGTTGCACACAACTTCGTATCTTTATTTCATCTGCAACAAAGCTAATATAAATAAATCCGTTGACTGAATCAGCGGCGACTTGAACTGCAGTAAAACATAAGTGTGGATTCATCACCCAGATAGTAAAGACACAGAATGAGATTGTGTTCAGAAATATGGCACAGATACACACACACACACACACACCGAGATGCACACATACTCAAACACAACTTGCTGCAGATATGCAGTTTTGCTCCTCTGTGGGAAGCCATCTCCCTCACCGCCTCTGTCCTGCTGATCCTGCGAGGCCCCGTGTGACCGGACCACTAATCTGACACATTCGTCTGCATTACTGCGAATTCCCCAATTGTCCTTTTCTCTAGCGGCTGTTGTTGTTACAACAACAACAACAAGGTATTCCTTTCCACCGTAAACTCCATGCCTCTCGCTCAGCGCACCTCATCTCCTCTCTCCAGAGCCCAACGCCTACCGCAGCATGGTGGGCCGAGCGGTCAACAGCACCCAGTTGGCGCAGGACTACGTCAAGCTGCGGACCCTGCTGCAGTCCGTGCGCTACTACCACCGAGCCCACCTCTACGGCCCCAACGCAGGACGACCGCGCAAGAACGCCGTCCTGCTGCTGGACGGGTGAGCGAGTCAAACGCCGACGGGATGGCACTCTCTGTTATCCGGCTAGAAACAGTGAGGCGGGGTAGTGGAAAGTATCCAGCAGCAGTTTTTTTTTTTTTTTTACAGAACTTGTGTTTAATTCGCACACACTCACACACACATTGCAGCAGTGTTCGGTGTTTATGGGTTTCCACTCTGCAGGTTTGAGCGTCTCAGCTTCAGTGAGAGCATGTCAACCTAAATAAAGTGTCGTCTGATTGATAACGTGACGGCGCAACGTCCCACCTGCTGGTTTTAGGCAGGAGCTCCACCAGCTTCGGTTGAGTTTTATCAAACAGCCTGTCCCATTGTGGGATTTTAACAAAATACTTTGCATGTAATTTATCCCAAAAAAGAACACATGGATCCCTTGTTTTTAGTTGAACTATTTATTTTCTGCGCAGCTTTTGATTCCATTAAAGTCAATATTTGCTTAGCTTGAAAACACACTAAACTTACCTGTATAAAATGAATATAATATCACTTCCACATGGTAATGAAGGTGGAGGGAGGGTCTTTCTTGTTCATGCTTTCAATGTATTTTCGAAATCAAAGTCTGATAAACAAACATTTCCCTCACAGGCTTCGTTTTATAGAAACGTTTTATAGACAGAAAATAAAAAAAACACAAACCATGCAGACAATCATATCAAATCAATCAATCAAAATTCTTTTGTACCGTTTTGTAGCTCACATTTTGAGTCACTCAAAAATCTCAATAAAAAACGTAATGAGCTAACGTAACCCGATGCTACTTGGTTGAGCTCTGTTATTGTTATTGTTGCTCCAAAGAAGATACAAATGGCAAGACATTATCTATCTCCCTTTTTTCCCTCTTGGAAGGGTTTTTTCATTTTTTGGGGAGTTTTTCCTGTGCCGATGGTGCGTTTCGGGACAGAGGATGTTGTATGTGTACAGACTATAAAGCCCTCTGAGGCAAATTTGTAATTTGCGATTTTGGGCTATACAAAATAAAATGAATTGAATGGAATTGAATCTATCCACTACTTTTTCTCTGTAGTGTGGACATTAAAGGGTTAACATGGGTGTTGATCATATTAACCTTAACCACCACCCTCAAATTAAACAGATACCAATACAAATACGAAATACCTCAATAAAAGAAAAAACATAAAACATGAATTTAAAATTACAGGTTAACGAGGGGAGACTTTTGCATTTATGAGCAGCATCTGAAGTAGTCGTAAGAAGCTCCTCCTGAGGGCCCCCATACTTGCAGGATGGTGTATAAACAGATAATTAGTTACAACATAGTAAAATGCAGTTGTAAACATGTCCTCCGAGGCGACGCTGTAAATGTTGACAGGTAATACTACACTTTAATAAACATTGACAAAATCCCATGTCTGCTAACAATTACATTATAGTGTGCATTCGTGTATCAGAGTGTTTCAACGGATATACAGGGGGGCATTAGCCTGTTCATTTATAGTTGAATTACTTTTACTATAATGTTTAGTGTATAATGCATCGTAATAAAAGTTTGACATAAATGACAAATAGTGCTGATATAGTCTCCACAGATTTTTCAGTAGAAAGTATCCAGTTGGCGACCATCAACAGTAAACTTTGTGTTCCGGGTGGCTGAAGTAAGCTGTTTTAAGATTTAGGATATAAATATATATATATATATATATATATTCATACAGTTAACAAGAGAATTAGGAGTGACTGAGCAAAGGAGGAATATGTAGCTCTGGCTTTAATGGGCACTGTTAAATAAACAGGGAACGGCATTTCTTTTTGATCCCAAATATAGTCTATAAAGTTAAACTGATGTGTACTGAAATGATGTGTGGCAATGCAGTGTGTGCAGATACACACAAACACACACACACACAGACAGGAGGAACAGTTTAATGTCTATGTCTCAGCCTGCCTGCAGCTCCTCTCTGCAACCACACACACTTTGACAGGTAGTTGGAGGACGGAGGATAAGGAATAATTCGATACGGGTCTCCCTCCTCTCTGTACTTGAGCTACTTACATCACTGGAACCAAACTGCTGTTTATCTCAGCGAGTACTGACAGTTCAAATTTACTCAGAAATAAAAGGTGTGCGCACCGATGCGCGTGTGTGTGTGTGCGTGTGCACTGCGCGGTTCAGACTGATTTATCAGCAGAGAGCTCAGAGGACTGGGAAGATGTAGAGACGACGAGTGAGAGGAGAAGAGGAGCGAGCTGGAGTATCGGCGGGTCACGCGTTTAACGACAGGGTGATTCTGGTGTGTTTGACACCGTTACGAGGGGGTGGCTCTTGTGTTTGACAGCCAGACTACTCTGCCGCTCTCAGGAAAGAAGATTAATTAGACACTGAGCTGCTCAACAATCCAAATATCGGGGCTGCACAGACTAAACAAGCCGGGGCAGTGAAAGTTTAGAGACATACAGTTGGGGATGTTACTCCCAAATATGGAGAGATTTGGGTCAGGTAGGAAAAAAAAACCCCACAGAGAAAAGCAGAAACTGGGGAGGAGGAATGCATCCAGCAGGAGCGATTGTGTATATGTTGGGGTTGTGTTTGTGTACAAGAATGTGTTTTCAGCTCACTTAAAGTGAATTAAACCTGGAGAACTTATGTGTTGAACACTGAGTGTGAAGTGAATTAACTTGGCTTAATAGAGTCAACACAAGGTTTTCCTGTCGATATTCAAATTAATGTCACAGACTTATTAGTCTTAGTAGATTTATTTTGCTCTTAGTTAAACAGTTTGATTTACTCGACATAAACTTTCTGCTTTAACATAAAACTGCAGTAGACAAATAACATGTAAGATTTATGGTAAATTCACTGTTCACTTCCCAAATAATTTAGGATGAAATAAGCGGTCATTGCACTCTGTTTACTTTAGAAGTTAGCAGTTAAATTGATGAGTAATATAAAATATTTGAAGAAAAGGGGCCACACTGAATGTAAAACTCTGTCTTTCTGTCTTTCAGGTTCATGAAGAACGCTGGTTCTGCTGTAGATGCTGTTACGTGGCAACAGTAGGTATTTTACCCTTTTCTTTCTTTTTTGATATTTTGTCCTTAGAAAACCCCAGAATCAATCTCCTCTAACAACCTCTCACGTTGTGTTCTTGTACAGTCATCACCACGTTGCGTGTTTGCTGCCAGTTAGAACCATTGTTAACACTTGGACTGAGAGATGCTTAATGAGGAGAACTGTGTTAATCCTGTAAAGGGAACCACAGGAAAAAGAGCCTGAGAATGTTTTCATTAAATTATTAACACCTGTCATTTGCCTATTGCACATCCTGTAGGAATGCGGACGCATCAATGGTTTGATCTTTCCCCCATGTTTTTATCAGTATCCCTACACACGCATGTGTTAAACTCGCACACAACATAACACACCACCGGCTGGGACAAACGCTGTGTGTTTGAGCGAGTTGTCTTTAAGGTGAAGGTCGGGCCTAATCAGGAGAGAAATGAGAAGAAACGGAAGGAGGCAGGGCTGTCAGTAAGCCTTAGAAAAACACCACCCACACTGTTAAAATCAAACCATATGCTGCGGCCCGTTCCCTCCGTCAATTAGCCCGCTTTACACTCCAGATCCAGATTCCAGTGTGACCAGCCTGCGTGACGGCAACTCCGACCTCTACAAAAGAAGCAAACGTATTAAAAGTGGAGGCCGCTCATTAACACGTCTGCGACACGGCTTTCACTCCACCGCGGCTGAATCGCGTTGTTGAGGCGTCGAATGAGGCGTTTTAAGGGTGGAGACGCCGCCCCTGGTTGTAAACTGCGTGGGCGAGTCACACGGACTTGTTGGAGAGGGAGTCTGTCTGTGGGTAATAGTCAGACGTTCCGATGCAGCTTGTGGAGGTGGAGCTTGTTGGTGGACGTAGTGAAAGGTTTTGTGTGCCTCATGTTTCCATGACATTATAGTTTGACATTTGTAGCATCTTATCTCAGTTGCTGCTTCTCCAACATCATCAGTAGTTATTCTCTTCCTGTGACTTTCTTTTTTCAGTCCACTTTAACAGTGACCTACTTATATACCTAAATCTCTCACTTCCAGTGGTACTTTTCTATTTACTTAGTTCCCACCTCCTTCGTCCAGTCTTACATAACTATTAGATTGATTGTCATGACATTTCTTGGCCACACAGAATAATCTCTGTGTCATTATGCCATTGACATTTGTACATTCAAATTAAATTATCACTGTTTTTTGATTCATGCAGAATAGTATTTTCCATCCATCCATCTTCCATCCATCCATCCATCCGCTTATCCACGGGCAATTTAGCGATACCAATTGACCTAACGCCCGACGCATGTCTTTGGACTGTGGGAGGAAGCCGCAAAGATCCCACTCTGGACCGAGTCAAACCCGGGACCTTCAGCCACCGTGCCGCCCCCCAGAAATGTATTTTGAGCATTTCAAATACAAAATGACTCCCAAGTTTTTATCGGCCCTATCAAAAACAAATGACAAAATACTCAAAAGTACTTGAAATACGTGTTCCAAATACAAGTAGTAGAAATACTGTGGGTGCTGCATGACAGAGAGCCGCGTGTTTGGGTTGTTTACAGCTGAGGGGATGTCAAGAATTTGTGATCTCCTTTCTAGTCGGAGAGACTCTAATGGCATTCCTGAGGGATAACATGTATATACACACATATTCATATACATATATGTCCTTAGGCTGTTATGTAATGATTCATCTGGTGATGGCCTGCTGGTACAAGTCAAGGCACACATCGTCCTCTTCCTATGTGACCCCTCCGCTCACCCCGGATCTCTCGTAACACCAGCTGGACCCTCCTTGACTCTTGATGTTATTACAAGGAAACTGTTGCAGAGTACACTCATGCTTTATTTGAATAATGGCTCTCCACTACAGCTTTATAGTACAGTACAGTTACTATTATAACTATTTCCCTTTGATGACTCCTTCAGTTGCAAAAATTTGTATTTTTGTATCAAAGTCTGGGAGAGACGTCTCCTCTCTAATTATATATTACCTCAGTAAACATTGTAAACACAGGTTTACGGTGTGAATCGCTAGTTTTATTTTTCTTATTCAATACAGCATGATGTTCATTTTGTGGACATTTACGGTGACAACATCCACTTCTCATGTATGGTGTAAAGTAACGCACTTGTTTTCAAGACACTGCGTTGTGGTGCTTTCCTTGTAGATCTGCATCAAACACGCTGACTAAGAGGAAAACATTTGGACAATGTTATTTTCTTTTTTGCATTTTATTGAGTCCTTAAGTAAAGAAAGCCAATATTGTCGTGTCACCTTATGCTTTGCTAAAAACGTGCCCACAATTCCCAGTAGCACCGATCTGTGAAGATACAGCTATACAACGTCTTCTTCTTCCATGTATGAACTGGAATGTATTTCCCTGTGATCTGAACTGAAGAATTATTGTGAGCTTTCTGGAGAAGATGACAGGATAACCAAATAATTTGTGTGAAGCTATGATTTAATCCATGCATTGTTTACAGTTTGGGGCCAGGGGCTTGGGGCCACTCCATCGTGGTGATGACATTTTCAACGAGGTTAAGCTGAGATTGCAGCACTGTTTTACCTCACATGAATAAAATTCCGCTCTCTTCTCAGCCGTTTTGTTTGAAAAATCTTTACTTTTCAAAGCGTGATCAATAGAAGCTTGGCCTTAGTTTGGGAACATTTGGATACTGAGGATGTTAGGATTCTATAGTTGTCTTACTTTTGGCCTTATTATTCATAATACAGAGGATACACCATTCTTGCTTGGCATTCTCTCCCACTACATTTATTAAACTTGTCATTCAGAAATGGGCCGTTTACTCACATTCTAGAAGCAACTTCATGACCCCAATTGTGGGTTGCTTATCATATTTTGTGTTCTCTTGTTTTAGCAAAAGAAACGCTGAATTGGAATGAAACATTTTCAGATTTTTATAGCATTTTATTAATAACATTTGTGGCTTTTGAAAAATCAAAAGAGAAAACTGCTAAGCAATGCAACGCAGATTTTCTGAATCTGTTTCTGTTATTCTATTTTGTATGTATGTGACATTAATTCCAATAAATTCAAGTGGATTGAAAGATTAAGCTTTTGTGGGAGAAATACCTAATTTAACTTTCATTTCAAAGAATGATGTGGATTTTGTCTCCAAGCCGGTGTTATTGCCCCTAAAAGACGTCACTGCGTGATACAATTTGCACAAAACAAATTCTAGCAATAAGATGATAATGTCTTCTTGAAAATCCAGGTGACTAAAATGTAAACGGTTTAAGTTAAGTTAAACAAAACAGATTAGCTGGAATACTGACAGAAGCTTAAAACAAATACAATGTTGAGAAATGTTTGAGAAGCAATGTGTGTTTATGTTTTATGTTTCTCTTATTTTACAGCCTTGTGAATGATTTACCTGACCACAAGATAAGCCAATGAAGCCTAAAACACTCATTAACTTATCACGAATAATGTGGGATGAGTAACTCGACCTACTCCAGTATAAACTGTGCTGACTGACTGCACGTTATTTGTTTCAACACACGCAACAAATGTGTTTATTCTTCATCCTCCAGCGCAAATAAGATGAAAGTGTGTTTCATGGTGTCTGAAACTTTAACTAGAGTATCCAGTTGCTCTCTTGATTTTCTCTTCTGGCCTCTTGCAGCGGGTCTTGGAGCGTCTTTCTGTCGGCCCACAGCGTGAAGTTCCTCGGGACTTTGGCTCCATGAATCATTCTCTCGTAGCGCTGTCTTCACATCGTCCCTCTGTGTGTCTTCAGCTTTCACACACACACATGGGTGTCGGCATTGTTCCTTCTTTAAACAAGCCTGCGTTGGATTGCATTGTCACTACGCTTTGGTAGATTTGGACATTTCGGCCATCTTTGCTGTTCTAGTGAAACGGCGTGTTGTGTACTTCTGTGTGTGTATCCGTGGAACCAATGGAAATCACACTAAGTGGTTTGGATTTAAAACCGTTCATAATGAACAGCAGCAACGTTTCCAGGGAAAGCGTTTTTGCATATATTAAGTTGCTATCGTGGGGATATATCTGACCTGCCGGTTGGCTTGACTTAAATTAGCCTGTTTTGCTTTGTGTCCATTATAGAGAAGAATACAGTAACTTTATATAGAATGAAGGTTTAATTGCACATACCAACTGTATATTTATCTGTGAGAATGCTGTGAGAGGCAGCACCTCTCTCACAGTATCCTCCTTGTATTTCTATTGCAGTTATTACATGGATGGCAGAGTGAACAAAGTGGAGGACTTCCTAAAAACGCGTCTGTTGGACACGCTGACAGAGCAGATCACTAAAGTCACCGAGGTAACTTTAACTTTCCCTTACAGTTCTAAGATGTAACATAGTTTATATACAGCCATGCAAATGAAAGTGTTTGAATTCGCATTGACTATGTGTTGAGTCCAGTGTATATTTCAGAGGTCACACATCAAGTGGTTCAGACCATCGTGACGTGATTTGAATAATTACATTTGCATATTATTGGATCTGGCCAAGTCATGCATGAACCCACAGCTAGATTTTGTGATGATAAGGCCACATGTGCGTGCCACAAGCGTGAGTAAAACCATGAGGTAATCTTATCAACACTAGTTGCTATATGGCAGATTTGCTGAATTTTAAGACATGAACAGCGCCAAAGTGCCTCAGGGGAAAATACGCAAACCTGCTCCTCCGATCCACATGTCAAAATGTCCTTGAGTCAGACGATGAACGGCGCTCTCCTGCCGCTCCTCAGCAGCCCACTGCGTCTCCTGCTTTGAACTGTTTAAATGCAGGGGTCACATTTCAATGCATGTGACCGTTCAAATTAGGCTTTTGAACTCAAATCTTTCAATGGAATCTAATGAACGCTCCATATGTTTGTAGATGCAGTAAAATGATCTCAGAATCAGAAAAGTATTCAGTACCACAAAAAAACAATACCTCTGAATTGTGAAAATGTACCTGTTTTACTCATATAGAAAAAATATATGACCCTTAAGGTGATGACACTTGAAATACATTTGAATAAAGATGATTCAAAAGGGCAAAAGGTGAAGATTGATTGCTGTTGATACGTTCCTGTTGCGTCTCCGCGCAGGTGGTGAACACACACACTCCCGGTAAGAAGGTGTGGCTGGGCGGACTGGGCCCGGCGTGGGCCGCAGGCTTCAGTAATCTCTCTGACACATACGCCGCTGGCTTTCTGTAAGTTGTTGCTGCTTAAGAAAACCCCTGTGGTTTGTTTTATCTGAGAAGATATCTGAACCAGCTGCATCATTTAATATGAAACATATTGGCCCCCCAGTGCGTTGTGTATTATTAGCCGACAAACGCTCTGCTGTTGAATTCCTAATATTTCTCCCCTGCGTGTTTGTGTCCGTGTCGTCGTTGCAGCTGGGTGAACGCGCTGGGCCTGTCCGCCGTGCAGGGCGTGGACGTTGTCTTGCGTCACTCATTCTTTGACTACGGCTACACGCACCTTGTGGACCAGAACTTTAACCCTTTACCGGTGAGTCCCCCTATTGCCTCCCATTGTCGCCGCCTCACCCTCCTTCCTCATAGCAAAGGGCTCCGACCTGTTGCGCTCCTGTCGTTGTGCCCGCGGCGGACCCGGTGCCTCGATGGCCCGTCCCGCTCCTTTTCCCGTGGGAGCTATTAGTTGAGATGAAAGCCGCTTAGTGGCGATGAGTGCTCGGACGCGGGGGCGAAATGCCGTGTAACCTTAGCCCTTTGTCAGTAGCTCAGGACAGTGTCACTGCACCCCCCCCCTCCCCTCAAACCCCTCCATCACAACTGTGTGCCTCTCTGTGCGGGACGGTCCCCCCCCGGTGAGAGATGTGCAACCCGAGACGCTGGTACACCGGCATGTGAGTGAAACAGCCCGCCACACTGTGTGAAATTCCCAATGCCAAATTCCTCCAGGGTTGGGTCTGAATCACGCAGGGACAGAGACACACACTGAACTCTGAATTAGTGATCCGATGAGCTCTGTTAGTTGTTGGAAGGGCGAAATCATTTTTAACAAGCGGATGTGAAGGGAGATGTAATGTTGCTCCATCGCTCTCGGAGCTGAACGCGCGATGGTCATTGGGCATTTCGCTGGGAGTAAATGTTTTAAAGAGTTATGAAGTTCCACTGTTAATATAACATAAAAAAAGATGTACTGAGTTTGTAAAGATGGTTTTGTATTTGTCTCAGGCAGAGCAGGGCGACGTTTAGGCCACGCACGTTCAATCATTCCTTCGATAATAAAGGAGAACGATGATAAAATCAAACTTTTGTTATTGTTAAAGATTCTTTCATTCTTTCTTTGGTCAGAAATAGCTTCCAGAATGAGTATTGGCAATCCCAAAATACAAATATTTTAACCACTAATGTTATTGTTCTTATGAACTAATCCCTTCTAAACAATCTGACAATCAGTTTTCATTACGCCCCCCATTCGTTTAGTCTCGCTGGCGTGCGCGTTCTTGGATATCGGAACGCTAATTGCTTCATTTTTCTTCCCTCTTCTTCTCTGTTATTTTTCTGCAAATGCAGTCTTCCTGCTAAAATTGCAACGCTCTTAACGTGGCCGTATGTCTAAAGACTACACCAGCTTACCTGCTGAGAGAAATCTGGCCCCTTCTCCTATACAACGACTCCCCCATTGATAGAATCCAGTTCAAACCCCCAACGCTGAACCTCTTCTTTAACACTGTTGTCTTGCCCTCACATTCATCTCAGATTCAAAGCAGGGGGAACCTTCCCTCGGCCTATTTTACCTTTATTCCTGGATATATTCTCCTTTGTTTATGGGAATTACAATTAAAAAGAAGCTGTTATGTTCTTTGTGGATTTAGTTCAATTAAAACACTGAAATGTTGAAATTCCCTCTAGATGGAGTGTAATGAAATGACCTCACACTTTTATATTATATCGTATCAGGCGGTCTGACTGATTTGTCCTATTAAAAATGTATTGCTTCTCTTTTTCGAGATTTTGAAATTTTAACACAAACCAAAAGTTCAGCATCACTCCGGACATCTTGCACAGATAAAAAAAGAAACAGTTCCCTCGTTGTTATATACACTATGTAATAATCACAGTTCTGGCTGTACATTTACCCATCCATCCCTCTGCCTGTGGCCAACTATACAGTTCCATACTGTGCTCTGCTTCTTCGATGCCGTGGCGGCAAATTAAGTTAAAGCCTGCATGGAAAAAAGAAGCCCTTAAATGTTGCCATATGCAGGATTGCATGGGAACTTCCTGAGGAACACATGTTGTTCTGGGTCTCTTGGAGAGGTGTTGAGTCTGTAGAGTGTGAGACACAGTATGGTGGACCACTCAACATAAAACAGCAATTCATGAGCGAGCATAATATTTTGTAAAAATGTCACATTTAAGACATGTCAATTATAAATCGGTCAGCAGTCGGATACAATGTGACACGAGGCTATCAGCTCCGCCTAACTGTTTAAACGCTGACATATTTGAACTTGACCTCTTTTTTTCACCCGGTTACACACCAGCTAATTTGTTGACACATTCTTAATTTCCACAGTTTGCAAAACTTAATCTACAGTCAGCAGGACATCTCATGGCTGGAGAAACAAATGGGAGATTTTAGCAATATTACCTTCCATGGGAATCCAGTCCACCATTGCTGTGATGAATGGCCTCTTTAAATAGGAAATGTTACGTCAGATCTACCCTTGCATTTAGGTGAAGTAGAGTTGGCCTTTAAGTTGTCTCCCTGCCTTCAGCCATTAGAACGTCCTTTCTACACCTGCCTGTCTTTGGGTAAATCCTGTCAATAAAATGAACCTGAAGGCGATGGCGTTGCCCTTGCAGGATTACTGGTTCTCTCTGGTCTTCAAGCGCCTGGTCGGTCCGAGGGTTCTGGCCGTGCGCGTGGCCGGACTGCAGAGGAAGCCGCAGCCGGGACGAGTCATACGCGACAAGCTACGCATCTACGCCCACTGCACCAGCTACTACAAGTATGTGCAGTGTACATTATCACCATGATGTAAATACGTGAATGTCTTTGAAGATTTAGAGGGAAAACAGACTGCTGCCGATTCCCTGCGTCCTGCAAACACCTGAGGCTCAGCGTCTGGTGGGGATGAACAAAATCCACAGCCGGCCCATTTGGCTTCCCATAAATAAGCAGACCACAGACACCCGCTCTTTCACAGCTCAGAGCCTATAAAACTTAACGGGTATCACTTATCAGGTGTGTGGGTTCCGTCTCCCTTCCGTCAAAGAGACGCTGACAGGTGTCCGAGGCCTTTATCCCATCTCGGATTGGCTGGAGGGGGGAGGGACAATAAGGCGGTCTGTGCCAGGAGCAGATAAAGAGCGCCACCACGACCTGTTCAAGGTTATCATTTAACCCAGGCCGGTCGCTGTCAGCGCCAAGCTAGATTTACGGCCTTATCCCAGACAGGGCTCGTTTACAGATGGAGCGTCTCTTAGTGCTGCACAGATAGATGGCTGACAACCGGGCAGGAGTTGCATAACCAAACACTCGCATTCGGCCTGATGACATGCAGGGAATTGGTTAGAATACCGGTCAGACGGCGAAGCGCTAAAGATTTCAGTTGGCACTATTTCTGCCACTGTGTGGGTTTTACACAGTCGACGCTGACGTGGACAAACCATTGTAGTCTTATGGGGTTTGACTAAAGTGTGTAAATGTGCTCAGTGGTTTGAAAAGTCTTTTACTGATTAGACATTTGTCTTCTCCTGCCCTTTTAGCCCTTTTAGCGGTTTGCCTGGTATTTCTTTTTTCACTCTCCTGCGACGCTCTGACATCAAACAGCATCAACACATGTTTATGCTCTCAGTTTGGTTTGCTAAGAGTCTCATCATTTAAGAGGCCCGAGAGCTCATTATCTCTGCTTCCATCTCCCCATCGTTTCTCAGAAACAAGGCTGCAAAAGTTTAGCACAGAGACAGACACACACGCGTTCCCTCCTACAGGGCCCTACTTTCATTCTCCGCCTTGATACAATGGCCGTCCTTCAGGGCTGAACCCGAAAGAATTCAAATAAACATCGAACCCAAAACCAAGATTGCTTCATCGATAAGAGATTTCGGAGGTGGTAACCGGGCGAGATACCAGCCTTGACCCCCCCCCCCCCAAAAAAAAACACCTACGCCGACATGTGGTACTCACTACATCTGTGTTGTCTTTGTCCTCGTATCCAGGCTCTTATTAGATTGGAGGACGTTTGTCTTATATGTCTCGTTCAGTTATGTACCTCGCTATCAGGTTGTGTGCTCTGCGCGCTGGAGGGAGACTCAAGAAGTGTTTCCCGTCGCATTCGTCTCACTCCGGGCTGCACAAGATTTTAGATATTAGACACTGTACAAGAGAAGCCGATTTTAGCCGCAGATAGCCTCAGATAGCCTTTACAGCGATAATAAAGGCTTGGAAATGGAGAAGGGGTTCATGGTGGTTCATAATAAATATAGATGACATCTCGCTGCTAGATGGAATTCCATTCTTCAGAATGTTTTATGTTTTAATATTTCCTGCAAGCCTTTTTTATCAAGATTAGATCAAGGAGTTTCGGTTTGGTCGTCTTACAACATGTGATAAAAAAATATCAAAGGCTTTCTTTTCTTTGTAGTCGTCTATGATTTTAGAGAATTTTATCCAACATGGCAATGTTATTTATAAATAGTCTCCATTAACAGATGTGCAGAAGAATTCTTTCAGATTGTCTTTTGTCAACGTTAAGGAAAATGTGTCTTATTTTCATTTTCATCTCCACAATCCTAGTCACAACTACGTGAGAGGGTCCATAACAATCTACATCATCAACCTGCATCGCTCGCGAAAGAAAATCAAGTTGGCGGGAACGTTACGGAACAATACCGTCCATCAGTACCTGCTGCAACCCTACGGCCCCGATGGCCTCAGAGCCAAGTTAGTATCTGCATACTATGTCCTACGCACACAGGCGATGAATAATAGTGTTCTGTCCAATGATGAGAAAGTGGTTGCAGGTCCCATTTCATTCTTCTGTGCTGACAAGACAAATTCAATGAAGAGACAACCGGGTTACCAAAATAACTGTCTCTGTTATATATATGCATATATATATATATATATATATATATATATATATATATATGTGTGTGTGTGTACATAACAGTTATTGTTGTATATATATATATATATATATATATATATATATATATATATATATATATATAGATTGTAGACAGACAACATTAAAAAAGTAAAACTCAAAAAGAAAATAAAGAATAAACCCTGTTCCAATTTTAATGACAAAACCTGAGGCTTTATTATTAATTCAAACTGTCATTATGAATTGAACTGCTTTCCTCAAAGATGTACAGATACATATAGAGACTCATGAAGTATAACACTATAAATTCAATCTATGGTGCGGTTGTTTTTGTTAGTGGAATATTACAAGTAGCTGGTGGCTTGTGTGAAGTTTAAGTGACAACTTTTAAACTCCTTCACAGAGATCCAATGTGTTAACCCATTTGTTTGAATATGTATCTACTGCAACAGATGTTTTATCAATAGGGTTAGTTATATTACCATTCATTTTTATGCTACTAAAACTATTTAAAGCTTTAAAGCTTTTACTATAACATATAACACGTCGTGTTTCAAGCTAAAACATGTGTATTGCCTTTGAACGCCCCTTATGAATGAAAACTTCATGCTTTCAGTCTCTTGCTCTCACCTCTAAGCCTCTGTCCTGTTATTCTGACTCAGACTTGAGCCTCAAATCCTGCAATAACAGTTTAATGACTGTGGTGGTGGTGGTGGTGTGTGTGTGTGTGTGTGTGTGTGTGTGTGTGTGTGTAGGTGCGTGTGTGTGTGTGTGTGTGTGTTATACGATGCCAAAATACGGCCCTAATGGCGGCCCAGGCATGATCCTTCAATAACAAGGTAATGATGGAGGATGTTTAGGTGTCAGAACAGGATTTCAGGGGAATTAATAGAAAAGAAAGCTAACGAAGGGCCTTTTCAGGCCTCAAGTGCTTTGCTTCACCGCAGGCAGCACAGAGAGACTTTGATGAGGAATTTAGCAACACCAGATGTCTATACATTTGTCTGAGGAGTGGGATTCTTTAAAATTGGTCAAGTATTCAGATTATGCATGTTCAAGAAAGGCGACCGACTATGATTTTGAAATTTCATATTATATATATTTTATTTTATTTGAGGTTCACATAAAATATCCAGACCATCGGCTTTAATGCTTATGTATTTTTTGTGTTTAGCAATATAAATATATTATAATATTGTTTTGTTTTTTTAAAGTGAAACTATATTATAGTATATATATCTTTAGCAGGATTCAAGCTGCCATTTATGCAGGAGGTTTCATGAAAGATCCTTGCAGGATTAATAATAGTATTTAATTGAAGTATTTTTAATTATTGTGCAATCTCTGTGTAAATTGCCCCTGTATTTGAGCCATTAACTATTATTTCAACTTAACTTACAGCTGTGACATGTAATGTAGCTACTATTCAAAACTATTACATAATCCATTTCATATTTGTTTTATATTCTTATAAATATATTATGTTATAAAGTTAGAAGCAAAAAGCATTTTTAACTATCTGCAATTACATAATATACTTCAGTTTAACACTTTTCTTGTTGAACACAGTATTATGGTAAGCTGATTGTCTCTCACGCAACAGCACAATTATTATTATTATCGGTGTAAACATCCATGTTGCTCTTTAGCGCGTTCAACAAAGACTAGAATGTTTTCTTTGCTTGAATTCTTGAAAAAATGTCCTATTTCAGTGCATCCGACTCCAAACCGCAGATTCCTCTCTTTTGCAATTTTGTATCAACAGCGCCTTCAAGTGTCCATTGGACAGAATCAAAAACTTGCTCGAGAATTGAGCTGCATTGAGCCGTCTTTATCGCTGGATGCGTCTTTATTTCACCAGTAGTTTGTGTCAGAAGGAAGGCGATCTCACAGAGCTAACGCAGTGTGTATTTCCTGCTTTCCTTTGTTATTTCCAGATACGTCCAGCTGAACGGCGAGAAGCTGCTCATGGTGGACAACGAGACGTTCCCAGAGTTCAAGCCGAAGACGTTGCGGGCTGGACGGACGATAGCCATGCCTCCCATGACCATAGGCTTTTATGTCATCAAAAACATTAACGCGTACGCCTGCCGAAGATAGCGCTGACCCTCCAACCGTCCGGCAGTTTTTCCCACAGCTTAAAAACTGTTTGGCTCTTCATGTTTTTTTTCCACCTCTGTGGGAAAACAAAGGTACCCATAAAAAAAAGGGCTGCACTGAACACTTTTTCAATATTTTTCCCAGAAACTCCTCATATGCTACAGGACTTGAATGGACACTGATTGTTTTGTGGCTTTGTATGGAGCTATGCAATGCCATAAATATCCACATTCTTTAATGTGATCACGCTCTTGGATTGCAAAATCTCTAACCCTGTCTGACAAAAGTTTAATTTCCTTTTTATCTTCACTGACCGACTGAGAGAAAACTCATTATAGCTTACGCACGTCAACTCCAGTTTGACGTGATCATTTTCAGCAAAGAGAGAAAGATGCCACAAATGGTGTGTGTGGGTAATGGCTGGACAAGCTAACGGCTTTGTATGTGTAAGCGTCTGTGTGTATCAATGTGTTCTATTGATAAAGCTACTGATGTTTTCTTTCCAGTCTGTTATACATATATATATACATCTTCTCTTTCCATATCGAGTGGTTTAAACGGAGAATCTGTTTCTTTTGAAGGCTTGTTTGCTGTAATGTGTGTATCATTGCATTGCTGCTGCAGGTTTATAGTGTTGCGTTGCAGTGATGCGTAGCTGAACAACAGTGTGAATCCATCCACAACATCTGGCCTCGCAGGCTGCCTGCATCCTGCTTTCAAAAATTTTAAAATACCAGTTTTTGGGGTGTATTTTTATCTTCAGTGTGATCTCACGTTTTATAATCCTCTTATGCTGCTAGGGTGTTTTGTACCAAATATACTTTATATATTTTACATAATTTTGTACAGATTTACTGTCATATGGTATTAGATCATGTATTGTACATACAGAGAGTGTTGGAAATAAGTGATTTGTTTACTTACACGAAGTACACATCTAATTTATACTTTGCTTTGTCTTTATATTTCTATTATTAAACTACCACCTAAAGGAAAGTACCCTTTAGATGGTTTAACATCTTACACAAAGATTGGCCTCCTTTCATCAAAACCAAAGAGTGAGTAAAGATGTCGTTATGTTGTCTGTATTGATTGAATTAGAGCAATGAGAACATAATAAGGATAACGTTTCTCCTTCATGGGGGATAAGACAAGATAAACGGCAGCAGGTTCCGTACCCAAACATGGTAAATTTAAAGAATATTTGTTCATAGTTGATGTAGAGATGTTCATATTTCTTTTGCAGAGCATTATTTTACTATGTAAAGTGTTCCTATGTATTGTTTTTTATTTTAAAAAAAGTTTACATTGATAATAAACACCTCAAAATACCTAAAAAGTGGTATTTACTTTTGTCTATGCTTCACTCACAGTGTCAAATTCGTCAACTCCGTAGCGTGCACGAGACAGCTACGTCCATCATGTTAATTGACATCAACGGTTCTCGGGGTTTAACAGGGATGTGCAGAAGCAAAGAGGTGAGAGGATATGATAAATGCCCACAAAGAGCAGCAGATACGCCCTCCTACAGAGAGAACCTCGAAATTGAATCTGCCACATTCAAGAAGCCTCTCCTTACACTCCTGCACACATGCACAGACTGTACACTCACAGGCCCCAGATGTGGAAGCAGCTGGGGAGAGTCTTTGTAGTTGGAAGAGTACTGTCCTGTCACTGCATGAGACAACTGCTGATGGGAAACATAAAGCCGAGACGGGGCTGAAGCTTCAGACCTCAGCTTTGGCCCAGACAACCTGGCTCAGTGTCTGCTGACAACCGGGATCCGCCTGGCTGGCTCATTTTGAAGAGAGATGAAGGATCTCGTGTGCACTTTTGACTAAAATGTTTGATCGGTTTCTCCCAGGTGAGCAGGGTGTGTGCGAAAAAAAACTGCACCGCACCGATTCATATGGAAAGCCAAACAAAGGCTTGAACTGTACTGAACACCGGTGGTCCTTCAAGAGCCGTGATCCGAAGCATGGACTCTTGTGTTTTGTTTTGTTGGGTTCCATTCATGGGAAAAGGCCTTTTAGCTTTCATGTATTTAGCAGAAATGTTTGTTCTCAGAAATGATCCCCGGGAACGGTCGAATGCTCACATGCCCGCATGTGGTTCATTTCAAACAGGCCAACATTGTTGACGCACAAGACTCGAAGCAGACTGGTTGACACCTGGTCTAGTTAATCGAGGGTTCATCGCGGCGCGGAGGCGCACAGGTGTGGGAGCATGTAGATGAAATGTGTGCGGACACGCTTTATTTTCAACACACATGCAAAACCTGGAAAAACCCAGAGCGAGAGAAGCAGGCGGTCGAACGCACACAGAGTAGTCAAGGGTGGTCACAACTGCACGGCGTCACTTTCGCCGGCGAAATCTAATCGTGTTGTGATTTAGTCGGACCGGGTCGTGTCTGGCCACTTCTGCGTGACAGTGCCTCTTTAGTGGAGGTAACTGTTACCCAGGCCTGCCTAACACTGTTTACACTCGGTGATCCATTTTGAGACATGCAAGGGCCCCCTTTCCCCTGTTAGCATACACTGAGGATTTCATGATGTTTACTCTGTATATACAGGAGTCAGCTTAAATATGACTTCCATGAACGTTCTATCCCAAGAAAACCGATGGACTAGATTAGACCGGCACCACGACGTGGAACTCTCTTGGCATTTTGGACCATTTTGACCCAAGCAAGGTTAATAAAACATAAATATTTATGTTGCTATGAGGTTCGTTGCTGCGCGCAGAAGCCAAACATACAATCTGTGCTGAATATTGAGATACAATACAGATTTGTTATAGCCATCAAAACATTCTGTGAGAAGCAGCTGAATGTTTGGTTTGTGTATATGCAGCATTTGTAACGTATGTCTGATAAGTTGCTCCCTTGATGACACAACTGTAATATTTAGGGGAGGTTCAGTATTGAGTTTATAGTGTTTTGAGAATTTCTTTTCTCTCCTATAATACGTTTTTAAATGTTGTAATAGTGTAATAATGTTGGACTTTGCAGCATTTACCAGTCCTCAACATTTTAAGATCGAATTTAAAAAACCCCCACCAGATATCATTTACATTAAGGAGCTGATTGATTGGACTTCGGTTCCATGTATGTTGTTGGAAATCAATTTGTAACTTCTCCTTTTTGATAATAATTTTATTCTTATTGTTTTGTGTAGAAAAAAAACTTCATGCAACGTTACTTTATGATTTCACTTGCTCCTTTGTATGTTAAAAAGTAAAACAAATCAGTAGTTGATGGTGTTTTTACATCGTGCTGTGCTTCGTGTTCACGCACATTTTGCTAGCGGATTGTTGTGTAAGGCTGACTTTTCTTAGAGAGTCACACAAAACGGTTAATCTGCCGTCAAATCTCAACTTCTCCCCCATAAACTGCATTCCCCGAATACCAAACCGTCCGAACGGCGCGAGGCTCTCAGTCACGCGCCCCACGCGGGGGGGGGGGAGGGGCTCCTCGACGGGAGCTCGAGCTCACTTCCGCCTACTGGCGTCACGTGACTCGGTGACGTAAGGGTTGTGGGAGGAACCAGGGGTTTTGGGTCTCCGACCAGACAGCGGCCGCGATGAAGGCGTCCGCCAGCTGAAGGGAGAAGCCGAAGCTGTTTGGAAAGCAGAGAGTCTGGACCGAGAGGCCGAGGAGGGAGTGAGTGTTGACACGAAGTGTTGTGGTGTTATTTAGCCGTGGACAGCCGTTGTGCACCACGGAAGTTAGGAGTTTGGTGAGGGGAAGAAAGTGAGGGCTTCAGGTAAAACACGGGGTGGTATTTCCGGGGCATCGGAACAGCTTCAAGTAATGAGGCGTTCAATTGTTTCGGGATCAGCTAAAACCCTGTGACCTGCATGCACGCTCACACACTCGGTGGTGTGGGGAGTTTTTTATTGTACAAATTGTAAACTCATTTCAATGGAAAAGCAGAAGATCTATACATTTGAGGTGATGGAACTATGAAATGCCTTTGCATGAAAAACAAAATGACTTGTTTGTCTATTGACTAATATAATTGTCTATATATACAGCTGTACATGCATTTTGGATGTTTGACTTTGAAAAAAATATGTTCTACGTGCTTCATATGCACAGATCTTACATTTTAATATAACTGCACCTGTCAGATACGTGAAGTGAAAAGTCCTGCAACAGTTGAGCGCTTGATTAAATGCACTTAGTTACATTCAAAACTGTATCAGTACTGATACTCATTTCAATAGAAATTCACAATACGCATACTGACAGCACACGCATTTGTGAAGGCGCACATTGAGGAAGTGTTGCAACCACTCGGGCCACATTAAGACGAGACCAGAAAGATTTCACAATCAATATTTAATTAAACGTCTTTGCATTTTCGGTTTGTGTCAAAAAATATGAGTCCAAAAGTTGTCCAATGCCATAAGCCCTACTCATGAGGATTTAAGTACATATTTGGAGGAAGAAGCCGATTTCAAAGAACAATTAGTGACCGACACATAATCAAATTTAGGCTGAAATCACTAGATGTCCAAAGATGACTCGGTACCTCACAGTGCTTACAATTAATTAATAACAATCTTTAGCAAAATTAGAGTATATCTCTTACAAACTGCTAATCAGTGCAGGAACTCTTATGTGTGCTCTGACTCCCAGCGTCCTGTAATCCCGTACACTTGACCTTTTAGGCCTCTGACCTTCCTTGTCTCAACACTACACTCTCACCAGTGTAATGTACTCATTGATAAAACACCAGCCTTTAGATACCGTTTATTTTAGGTCAAAGAGCAGTGGCGTGTGGGAAAAAGATCCAGTTTACAGTTTCTCCAGTTTTCTTAGCTCTATGTGAAAATACTGCCTCTATCTTCATATTCTATACTTTTGACCTTTTTTCTTCGTAGCGTGATGCACACGGAGAGGTTGGAGTGAATTGGACGGCACAGACCAGCGGGACAGTACCTGTCGGTCCAGATGAAGTGCTTACTGATTGCCAGTGAGAGTGCCGAGGTCCTCTTCCACTGGACCGACCCAGAGTTTCAGCAAAATGTCCAGAAACAGTATGGGGCGTCTCAAGAGGACGGCCAGGGGGTAAAGAGGAAGGAAGTAAACAGACATAGCGTACGCCTTTTAACTGCTTTAAATAACTCTCGACCTTTTTCTTTCTTCTTCTTTGCCTTTTGTTGCTGTGATGGTCAGCTTCCGGCCTTCGAGGACAGCATCAGCACTCTGTTTGCTCCAATCATTATCTCCTGCATCACCATGGTGGACAGGCTGCGTGACAGCTACACCTCCTTCACCACGGAAAACCACCACATCTACGTCCTGCACCAGGTAACGGCCGACCCCATTTTATCCACTACGTCACCGTGAAAAAAATCCAAATGATGACAATTTGCGAGTTGTGTTCGAGTGCCCTCATGCACAAAGCAGATTTCATTTACTCCTGTGCTCTCCCATCGGCACTGCGGGCTGAATGAATGTAGGCCGCTCGTACGGTGAGACAACATGTATGTCATGTGAGTCTTGTTGAGGAATCAAGCCGGGCTTTGTCCTCCTGCAGCGCATGGGCTCTTTTCTTCTGGTCCATTCAGTTCCAGCAGCCTTTGAGGTCTTTCTCATCCAAATGTTTATTCCCTGCACTCCTTTTCACAAATGGATATTTTTTCATGAGCTCACGATGTCGGCCAACGGCATCCAGATCTCTTTGAGCTTTACTTCCCACATAACGGACAGCACGCAGAGGCTTTCAGCGTTCACCGCAGCGCCGGAAAATTACTTGATTGGTTAAAACTACAGCCCAGGGGCACATCTATTAGTTACACTCTTTTATTCGGCCCAATTAATTTGATTTGTACGCCCCGTTGCGTGTCTGACATTATTACAGCGCACAGAGTAGGAACGCAGCTCTAAGCGAAGCCGAATGCAGCGGACTTCGCTGTCTGTAATTCACAAAAACTGCCTTTTTGAGTGAATAGTCAAAGCACCATTAAACTAAAAATGTCTTATTATATTTACTGGGACACATTTCTCTTTTATTCAAGCCGATATGTTTGGGTGATTTTGTGTCCTCCCCAGTTTGACGAGTGTCTCTACATTGCTGTGAATGGCGACGGCGAGGAGGGAGAGTGTGACCTGAGGAGGAAGATCTACGTGGTGAAAAAGATGACGGAGGTGCTCTTCGGCATGGTCACCCTCAGCAGTAACCTCCTCAGGAAAGAGTGAGACCTTTTGTGCGTTCCCGGTGGGTAACGGCCTGTTTTCAGCAAGGCACCCGGTTGATGGATGAACTGTGTGTGTCACCAGGCTGCGTCCTCAGGATACAGAGCAGAGGGCGAGGCTGTGGAAGCATCTGCAGAGCCTGCTGCAGACCTACGGCCACCTGCGGGAGAACGACCAGAGCTTCTTAGTGGAGGTGCAAGACTCATTCCAAGCCGATATCTTTGCCAAAGACGTTATTAATCTGTCAGTGTCACAATGACGCACGCCTATTGTAAATTTAGTTTTCACGTGCCTATGATATATTCAATTATTAGTTATGTTTGAGTTCTCTTTTTCCAGCTTTGTGATGTATTTGGGTTTTTCTTTCCATCAGTCTTACCGGTTTTGTACTTTGGTATTTTTCATGTTTTTAGTGGGGATTGTTTATTGAGTCACAGTATTTCTCAGTGAAGCCCTCACTGTATTGTATGCGTTGCATTTAGGATGTGGAAACGTTAACCACTAGATGGCAGGAGTGGGCATGGTTTATTTTAAATGTGTGTTAATACAATTTTGTCTCTTTACAAATAATGTGTGCGTTGAACTATGTTTGTTTTAGGTCTGCGATACAGTATTTCATCTTCTCTAAGTCTACTCCGCTTCACGGTGAACCAATTATGACTTGACCGTTATTATCCCAAAAATGTAGATCCCATTACATGGAATCTGAAAACCTTTTTTTCCCAAAGTAACAAGATGCATTTAGTTTGGGATTCTCCTTTCATAAGTACTATTTTTATTGAAAGTATTTCTAAAGTTAATGAATGAATCAGTCCTCTTTCTCATTAGAGATCAATAACCTACTATATTCTATTATATTCTACTATGATGTAAGTGAAGGTTAACGCCGGCTTCCCCTTCCTCTCTCAGGCCGTGGAGAGGCTGATCCACCCCACGCTGTGTGAGCAGTGCATCGAGTTCCTGGAGCGCCGTTTGGTTCAGCAGCTCAACAGCAGTGGCGAGCGAGCGGGAGAGGAGGTGATGCACGCCTTCATCCTGGTCCATACCAAGCTGCTGGCGTTCTACTCCAGGTACGGATGTCTCCGATAACCCCACGCGTTCATTCCACAGATTTCTTAACTTCGAAGTCACCAAAGAGGCTTCATTTATAGTCATTTAAGAATGCTTGATCAAAGTCTCCGTCCGCTTCCTCCAGCCGCAACGCAAGCAGCCTCTCCACCTCGGACCTGCTGGTCCTCATCATCATGGCCCAGAATATGTATCCTAGCAACACCGACTCGGATGATCCGAATCCTGAGGTAGAAAATGACAGACGGCGGCTCACACAGTAGCAACACAAAATGTTGGCTCACCTTGTTTGTGGTTGTTTATTGTCTGCTCCCATGTGTGTCCTGCGTTTGTCCTTGAAGGATGTCGAGAGTACGTCTGGCTCTGGTCCTGAAAGTTTTTACACGCCAGAGCCCTCGCCGCCGCCTGACAGGGGCTCGAGTAGTTCAGGTGGGTTCTGTGGACGGTGCTGTTCTGTGTATTCATATTTAGTCAGTCATTTGTCATTCGCATCATAACAGCGGCATGTTGTGTGTTTTCCTGATGTTTGTATGTCAGGAGAGAAGCCGGGGAGAGGAAGCACACCTGTGTTTGAGTTTGTGGACCCAGACGTACAGGTGACAAAGATTATTCCTAAAACTCAACGCGAAATAGACTAAAATGACACCTGTCGACTTGTTCAAATGACGTTGTGTGTGTGTGTGTGTGTGTGTGTGTGTGTGTGTGCAGATGGCAGAGGACAGCTTGCAAACTCTAGAAGTTCCTCCGCCCGACCCGTCGACCCCCCGCAGAGTCTTCCTGGAGGTCTCGCTCAAAGATGGGTTGTATCCCATGATGCCTCACTCCATGTACTGTCTGCCTCTGTGGCCTGGCATCACACTTGTGCTGCTAACAAAGGTTGGTCACCAATACGATATTTCTTCCATGTAATGCGATTTCCCTTTTGCCAGCAGGGGGTCCCCTTTTAACACATTTATCCCACCCTGTTTAACTCGAGATCCGTGCACATCTAGTTTATTTTATTACCACATAAAGATGTTTGTTTGATCCCTGTCAGATTCCCACCAGTGCGGTGGCCATGTCAGTGTACACGTTTTTGGAGGCCTTTGCCAAACTGGAGAAACGTTTGAGTGAAGGCCAAGAAGGATCTGCTGCTACCAGAGGACAGCGAACTATCCATGAAGTCCGCGGCAAACTTGATAAATTCATCAAAGCCCTGGGGCCCACTGAGATACAGGTGTGTGTTTTTATATGTTGTACCATATAAAACGTGTTCAGCAAAGGTTTAACATTTTACTAAACACATGCCATAACCTCCTCAAATAACCTTAATATTCCCGTCGACCGTCCTTCGACCCTCCTTATTGTATATTATATAAACCAGCTTTTGTTCCTGGTTTGTTTCTCATCCAGTCTGGACAGTTACAAAAGGAGTGGATAGAGTTCAAGAACTTGGCCTTCACCAGAGGAGGACCTGGCTTCAGCAGACAGTAAGGTCTTCTACCCCCCCCACCCCCCCCCCCCCCCCCGGTGGCTGAAATACATCATAACAAAGCAGTTGGTTTATTGGAATAATTCCATTCATGTGTTTGTGTCAGCCTCATTCCATCTTGTAAGAAGATGAAGACTCAGCTGTGTGCCGTGTACAGACAGTGTTTTCTCCTCGAGTCCGGATCAAGTAGCATTCCTCAACGTCTCTCCCCCGGGCTGCAGGAACGGGCCCAGTCCATGGTGCAGTGCGTACCAGTCAGCCGCACATCTTTTTGCACCACAGTTGTCGTCGTTTCCTGACGTTTTTCATATCCAAGTCCATTGAGAAGTCTCGTAACAACATGTTCTCTCATCTCTGGCTCTCAGAGAGAAACTGATGGACTGGAAGGACTTCCTGTTGGTGAAAAGCAGGAGAAATATCACCATGGTGTCATATCCTTTCAGCAAAACGATGCAACTCCCCGTTGATGACTTGTTGTGTGTGAATCTATATCGTCTGTGGAAGCGCATGCATTTTTTACTACATGCAAATGGCTAGATATATCTTTTAAAATACAACTGGCAGATGTCCTGAGTCTATTGGTCTTGACCCGGTTGCTCCCACTTACCTGGAGGATTTCCCGGGCCTCATCCATTTCATCTGCGTGGACCGATCCACCGGTCAAATGATCGCACCGTCGCTCAATTTGACGGAGCGCAACACGTCTGAGCTGGGGAAGGGCCCGTTGGCTCAGTTCATCAGACGCAAGGTCAAGCGTACAGAAAACACACATCTTAATACTAATCGCTGATTGCATTCAGTGCAAATAATTCAGTAATATTATTAAATGAAAGAACTGTTGGAGAAATGACTCCCGTAAAGAATTTCTCAAAGTGTCAATATATATATATATATATATACAAGCTATTTCGTTACAATGCTCTCTGCTTCAATCGTTGTAGTATTTTAATTGTTAAATTAGTTTCTTCTACTGATCCACCCTGAAGGTGTGGACCCTGGTCAATACAACACGGCGTTACCTCCAGAAGGGTTACTCCACAGTAACCTTCCGTGACGGAGATTTCTACTTTTGCTACTTTCTCTGGTTTGAAAATGAAACCGTAAGTTACTGGTATATCATGTTTTAAATGGAATGGAATTTTGCACCACACACCACTGTAAATGTAAACAAGACTGCATCCTGTAAGTTGTGAATCTGATCAATCAGGGCTTTAAGTTAGAGGCCGGCGACCTGCCCGTCCTGTCTGATGACTCCGCCCCCATCGGGATGCTTGCCTGGGACTACTACAGGTAAACACGGTGAATACCGAAAATAGATGTGACTAATCCAAACGAGAGTGCCGCTGACCATGGAGAGCAATGTGCTCCGCAGGAAGCTGCTGCGGTACTACAGCAAGAGTCACCAGGGCGAGGTGGTGAAGTGTTACGAGCTGCTGACGGTTCACCTGGGGGTCGTCCCCGCTGAGATCATCCTGCAGCACTGCAGGCAGCTGGCAAGCAAACTGTGGGAGCCGTCGCGCAATCCACTGCTGTAGAAACACCCACATGAACTTAGTCACGCTAGCCAAGGTACTCTGCGATGACAAGAAGCCAAAACAAAGATATTACAACATATAGATGCGTGTCCAACACGTTTATGTTAAACCCCGACCAACCGGCACTGTTATGAAGTATATTTAGAATTTCTTGATTTGTGTGATATATTTTTGAACCTTTACTTATGAGCGGTTTTTATTTATTAGCAATACTAAATGTTTTGTGTTCACTTGTTTTTAAACTGCAGCTGATCAATTTTTATAAAAACACATTGTCCGTTGTTGCCTTTACTACTGCTAGTGTCTTAATATGTATGAATGAAGCATACAATTGTTATTATTGTACGTCTCCAATAACTTTTAAGATTAAGAGATAATAAATGTCAGTATTCTCACATTCATTTCTTTATTGAGTCATTGTGAACAATTGAAATCTGAACCATCTCATACATTTTACAAATCAGTAGTCCTCGGCTGACCCATGGGTAAAATGACTTTGTCTGACAGATAGTGATTGAATAAATTAATTCACTATGCTGGGTTACATCTCACCAATCATAAACCACAAACATAAACTAATTTCCTCACTCGTTTGTGAACCCCGAAGACTTATTTTAAAGGTTAATTCACACTTTGTAGGCTTCTTCCGGCAGGGCGCGTTTTTGGAAGAGTCCACTCAGGCTCACAGTGAGAGGAAGGAGTGCATGTTGATGTCAGTGCACTGACTCACAGAGCTCCTGTGAGGTCTGCCACGACTCCTGCAGCCACCAGGTCCCTCAAAAAGCGCTTTTCAGCATTTACGTCGTGCACCACCTGGATGATTATAGTAGAAACGAGTCAAAGTTAAATCAAAACGCGAGGGAGCTTTGCCTTGGGGGAGGCCTATAAATGCACATCACTGTTTAGAAATCTTACCTGAGCCTTTATAGCCTCCATGCGAATGTTCTCGTAGTAGTGAAGTCTGGCGCCTGGGTGCTGCATGTCGTATCCGAAACCTGCCAAGCTCACCTGGTCACACAGCTGCAAAGCCATCACCAATGCGCTGGCCCCTAGCGTTGGCACCATCTACTCAAAGAGAAAGATTGTCTCAGGTCTCCTTTTTTAAACAGTGTGATGTGTTACTCTATAGGAAAAGCCCACTATAAAGACCAGTGGGTGAAACAAAGGACACGTTTTCTATTCAAATGATGGCTGTGCTCATCTTTCACTCCCTTTATTCATAGATTTAGAGCTAAGTCAACACATGTCTGAGTAAGGCATATACATATATCATCCAGGACCGGTTAGGCTACTCAGAAGGGCCATTGTTCTAGATTTTTTTGAATGCAATAATATACAAAGCATTAAACAAAGCATGAGAAAGAAAAGAAAAGAAAACAGAACTCACGTTTCCCTGTTTGAGACCATATTTCTGTAGTATTTGTCCTGTCTTGTGAATAATCTCTGGGTGCAAGATCCTGAAGTTCTCGGGTCTCAGTGGAATATCATCCACTACCTCCCTCCAGAACCACATTTTGGACCAGAAGTTCTATTAAAACCCAACGAGGAAGAGCATGTGAGGCAGTGAATGCAACGATTCACTGGTTTTGCTGCACGAGTTGTGAAACTCGTTGCTTATGTAATATCCAATTTCTGTGTGTGCAATGGTTCCTGTGATGTACAGGCTTACCAGAGGCTGTTTGGTAACGACAGAAGCGAGCCAGTCCAGGTCCAGACTCTTAAACACAACCACAGCAACCATGGAGGTGTGTTTGTACTCATTTGCAGAGTGCGGTGCTGCTTCGGGGTAAATCAGGCGGATCGTGGTGCGAGAACCAGCGTCTTTCTCATATCCGATCACGGGAGCGTTATTCAGCCTGGTAACAGAATTAATTAAAAAGTAGATTTTTTTTTTTACTACTACATCGCTTCTACTTGCTACAATAATTCCACCTGTCCCTCTTACAGTGGTGCACGTACCTGATTATGATGTCATACTGATCTATATGGGATCCAAGATGGCTCCCATATAGAACCCCTCCATTTCCCACCACCACGCAGCGCCTGCAGTTGCCTTCACTCCTCAGTGACGCAGGCAGGCCTGGCTGAGGCAGAGATGCAAGAGCAAGGGCCAGATGCTTCTCACTGCCCTGGAGCCCCAGAGGGGGGGGCAGATCCCATGGCTCAAACTGTTCCTGCTGCACAAACACAGGGATATCTAGGAGGCCTGAAGAAAGTGACAAGAGCCTGAGGTGGTTCATGCACCAGCGAGGCTGACAGGGGCCCGAAAGCAGGGATGCGGACCGATTTAGTAGGACCTAAAGAGGGGTGCAAAAATAGAAAGAGGTTAGGTTGGAGTTGGAGGAGTCAAACAATGAGCGCAAAGATGTGACTCTTTACCAGATCTTTGGGATGTTGGTTGTCATCGCTTAGATCTGCCACTTTATCCAACGGGAGATACGCGGGAATCAGAATAGCCAAGTAGCATCCAATGAGCAGCAGCAGACTGAAGGCGAGGTTTTCTCTCCTTTACACCAGAGAGGAAAAAAGACAGTGATATTGCATTTATTCACAGGTAACAGTAAATACAGTGTCTGCAGAGATTTACCTGCCAGGGGAAAATCCCCCGGAGTCAGTATTTGCGATCGCTTGCTGCCAGTGAGAGAGAGGTGTTGGCGTTGCAGCCCGCGCGGCCTCGGGCAACAGCGGACAGCCGTCGTCTGGGTCCTCTACACTCAGGTGATTCATCGTCACCATGGCACCTGCAGAAACACACACATCATTAAACTGACTCTAGTGGTCATTACCCGAATCCTTTTGCGACAAAGAACGCCAAGCTATCACTATTTGACATCAGACATAACAAAAATTACGTTTAAATTGTGTCTACGTGGTAATATGTAATATGAACTGCACAACTCACAGCCAGCCAGGTAGAGACGTTGAGCTGATGGTTAACTTCCAGCTCGCCTGTGCTCCATGCTTAAAGGGAAAGCAGCGTCCTGTGCAGCTAAAATGGCAGCTGCTGCTTCCTACTCCACTGAACTCTGTCTCCCTCAATGAGACGTTAACCATTCACTAGTCCCTCAGTCAGACTCTGGCAGGAAGGCCTGTAAATAAGCACGTGTGTGACCAATGGTCCCATCCGATAGATATATGCATGTAAATGTCGGCATAAAAGGGGGGAGTGTCCGGAAAAAACGATTCGTTGTGAGGAAAACTTGATAAGTAAACTGGATGACACCTTCAAGGTTTGATGCACTGAAAAAAGTCATGTTATATTTATATCAGATCTGACACTTTTTTTCCTTTTGTTTGTGTGTGTTCAGTCTGATGAACTTAACATGTCGGGGAAAAAATACTAAAACCTTTGCAGGCCAGTGATTGATAGTTAGTTTGCTTTCAAACAGATATTTAAAAGTTATCGCTTGGCAGTAATGAAACCTTCCTAAATAACATAATCCCCCAAAGCGGCGTGTTAATGAGGGCTGTACTCACGTGAACAGAGCTGCGCGGCATTGCAGCAAGAGGAGTTAATAAAACCAGAAGCTTGTGGAATGAATGTCCCCTCGGCTCATGACTTTGGGCACGACATGCCTGAATGGTTGGATATACTCGTATATTAGTCTATTTGCGTGTGTGTGTGTGTGTCTGTGCACGTGTGTATGTGTGTGTGTGGTGGCCATGACAGAGAGGAACAGAGGGAGAGACAAAGAGAGAGGGAGAATGTAAGGCTGGCACACAAACATACATTTATACACACACCAAAGTGCACACACACCTGTTTGATGGGGTGACACGATGTCCCACCATGACCCCGGTGTTTCAGCCAGGAGGCAACTGGGCGTGCGACACTTCTGTATAAAGGCGCGTGCACTCAGTCTGATGTTACTCCTGCATACTAGTTAAAGTTTAAAAGCTATGCAAAACTACACAATTAATTGTTTTTTTTAACAACAGGTGTGATGGACCGTGAAACAGAAACAGAGAAGGAAGCTCAGGTAGGTGAGAGAAATACTAACATTTCTATTGTGTTATTTTGCTTTTATTGAAATGAAACAGTCTTGAGAATGAGATTTATTCTAATCCCACCCCTGTGACATTTCTGTTCTTTAGAGAGATCACGATTCAAAAAGCCCAGATTTGTGAAAGCGAGTAATGGATATTTCATGTGAGGACGTGTGAAAAAAGAGCTGTTATATCTTCTAAAACATGCCAGCATTGCAGTTAAGCCCCAAACATGTGGATAAAATATCTGTCAGCCTGTTTCAACATCCATTTGTTGACGCGTCGCAAAACGCACATCAAGCACCCCTACATGAAATTCCTTGCAGCAAGATAATTGTCTGTCCAATCTTAAGCCGATGCTGTGATGTGACATTTATTGTACCAGAGTTTCTCTAAACCCTTTTTTACTTGAATTTGAATGAATGGAAACGACTCCTTTTCACACAATCCTTTTTCGTATTCTCCTTTTCATACTTTTGCTCAAATAGTTAATTTTGTCAAGACATTTGGTAAAAGCTGTTTTATCTAAAAGTCCTTTTATTTCCGACACGGCACTACGGAACTGCTTTTATTGCCACAGATTGAGACCATCTTTGATTCAGTTTATTTCAGACAAATGAAAAAATGAACGACCAACAAATGACGTTATCGTACACAGTAATGGTTGCCATAAATTTTGGAACAACATAAACAACAGCACATTAGAGATCGATTTGGGGACGGTTAATTCGGTTATTGCCAAACCTGGCTGGCACTATGCAGTGAATTTATTTTGACATTTGCACTTCCATTCCCAGCTCTAAACACCCCTTAGCCTACTTGGCACATTCTCTCTACAGGCCAATGGTACCTCTCTCATCTAGCTCTTCCCATTGTGTTGTGTTTATCTCTGTTTTTGTCATTTTCTAGGCAGGGGGAAGAGGGAAGATTATCTCGGCAAACCTACACTGTGATATTTTGGGCTTGAGTGGAGGAGAGAATATCCCACAGCTGTGCAAGAGGAAGAATACGATTAAGCAAACATACTCGCCTAAGGTGTCTATGGAAAGGCCTGTGGTGAGATGCAATTAAAAAAAAGAAATGTATGTTCATGTGCGCATCAGAGAAAAAAAAAAATTAAATAGTTTTCTTTCCTGCCACTGCTGTTCTGTGTGTGTGTGTGTGTGTGTGTGTGTGTGTGTGTGTGTGTGTGTGTGTGTGTGTGAGACAGAAAGGGCCCACGGACACTGCAGAATTCATGAGTGCAGCCAGTCGAGGCAGACTGAATGTAATAGACAAATACCTGGCTGATGGTGGGAACCCCAATGTCCATGATGAGGTATGCTCTCTGTGGAACTAGATCAGATACATTTACATTTCTATTTATAATGTACTTTAACTTTCCAGCTGAGGAGGACGGCGCTGCACCGGGCCTCTCTGGAAGGACACACTGAAGTTATACAGACGCTCGTAGAAAAAGGAGCCGATGTCAACTTTAAAGATCAAGTGAGCGCGTGGCTTGTTTGCCATGATGATGATGATGAGATTGGTTGAGATTATCTTCAGGCACTAAAGCCTCTGGTGGCCTGAAGTGAGCACTATTAATAGAACGGAACCATTCTGCTGTGTTTCAGCTGGGCTCCAGGGCCATGCACTGGGCCTGCAGAGGGGGAAGCCCGGATATTGTTAAAACCCTGAGGAGCCTCGGGGCTGACCTGAATGCTAGAGACAAGGTGGTTAAGTATTCCATTTGTCCCGGGGGCATCAGTTAACAAACAGTGGGTATTTTACTGTAACACAGTTGTTCCAGTACATGTCCGGCGGTGACCATGTCAATGTCCTCGCTGCAGCTGTACAGCACTCCTCTGCACGTGGCCACAAGAACAGGCCACGCCGCCATTGTTGAGTACCTGCTGTCCTGTGGGGCCAAAATCGACTCCAGGGACAGGGTAGAGGTTCAGCTCCACGCTGTTTGCCTTCTGTGTTTCGTCATGTCTATGATTCATTTCCTGACATTAAAACGTTCTCCTCTGCCTCAGGAAGGAGACACGGCCCTGCACGATGCCGTGCGCCTCAACCGATACAAGATAGCCGAGCTGCTCTTAGCGGCGGGGGCGGATAGAAATATAAAGAATCATGTGAGGTTTTATTCCTTTTTTAATGATGTTGATATCTGGTTTAACTTCAAGATTATGTTCAAAGAATAGGTGGTCATTTTGTCATGGGTGGTTGTTTTTTAATTAGAACAATACAACTAAGTTCAAAATCTAAATTTGCTGTTGGTAGGTGTGAACCACCGATGTTTTAAGATGCTGGTAGGGGAGTGTTGTTACCTTTGGATTTCTCCATGTTTCTAGTCTAATGCACCTCTCACACTAACAGTAAGAACTGTGTTGCAGGAAGGAGTGACCGCAGTGGAGCAGGTAAAAGAATGGCAGTTCTGCGTCATGGACACCCTGCAGAGAATGGAGAACCTGAGGGAGGTGGCAACTGAAAGGATCTCCAGAGAGGAGTAGATCATGCAGAAAATGTACATCTCCTCAAACAGTATTTTCTTCATGACAAAACTAAGTACCCGTCTCGGGTTCAAAATACATTTAGTAATTCCACTGTATGTTTGTCTACACATCATAGGTGGGTACATGCATTAAATGTGCTGCTATTCCAGGACATGAGGTTTAAACCATTGATACTTGTGTCAGCTTGGATTTCAGCTCAGCTGATTGCTTAAAAAAAGGAAACGGAAAAACCCAAATTTCTCAAAAAGGTTTCGCCAAGCTTTAGCTTTTGACTTTCTCTCCTAGAGCTTTATGATCTAAGCGGTGCTCTCGCGGATGTTTCATAACTCATTTGTGATGCAAGTTGGATAATATCAATAGATTGTGCTGTGCAGAAGCTGCATTTGAATACACATCAAGAGGTCCTTGTTTTATTGAGGCGACAGATGATGCCGGAGCGCACAGTAGCACTGTGTTTGAGAGCTCAGCTGACGACGGCAAAGACGGCTGGCATGCCCCCCTCTTTAAGTCAGGGATTCAAGGGCAGCTCGGTGGACATATTTTCCTTCTATCATCAGTGGCTCAAATGTTCACTCGTTACACATACAGCCTGTCATTTTGTCAGCATAATTTGTTCAACAGCTACTGCTGTATTTTGTTTCTCCACAATGTGAACGTAAAATGCCGTTTTGAACAGAGTGAATTCGTCTGTTAGAAAATACAATGTGTTCATTGTAGACAACTCATCAGATACATTATCGGCCACACACAATATTTCCTGTTCCAAGCAACTGTCAGGGAGACACATAACATGTGTAATACAAGGCTGTCTACAGAGCCATCATTTATTTTGTCGACCCTAACAGTCATGGCAGTACATAGTCCATATAATAAAGTTCTTGGAATCGGACAGATTAAGTCTGTTGGACGAGTAATGTTGCTTTTATTTCCAGTGAGCTTAACGTTAAATGCTGTTGTGCTGAACTGTGGAACGAGAAGGGGGGTGAAACAGTGGGAGGCTTCTGCTTTTCTGTTCATCCATGAAATGGTTAAACTTCTTTCCTGTAGCTCGCATCTCTGCCTTTGGCTTAGTACATTAGAAATAGCTGCATAATTATCACAAAAAGAATGACTTTTTTTTGTTTCTTTGCCCAAGCACAATGAAACGTTTCTTTTCCCAGCACGAGGCTTTATTTTGGACATCACAGCCTTTGCGATAAGAATTCAGACGTATTCCAAGAGAATGAGGTGATACGGTGTGGTAGTTTCTAACAGCACTCAAAGCAACATCCTGTTGTTACTGAAGTAAAGGTAACCATGGCAATGCTATTTGTCAGGCAGGCACACTTTTAAAGCACCATTTGTTTCCAGTTGGAAATAGATGTGGAATTTTCGTGAATTCAGTTCCACTCAGGCCGGCGTGTGTAGGCAAAGAGGTGCCTTCTCCCAAATAGCAGGAAGAAAAAAGTACTATTACATGATCTGAAAAACACGATGTTCCACTTACAGAAAACAGGAGAGTGGATTTGTGCTCGTAGATGGTGGCATGCACTGGTCTGCTTTTATGTGTCCAATGTTACTTTCAATCAGTCTGCCTGTGCTTAGCAGCACACTACATGCTGCTCACAACAGGCAGCAGTACAGGTTTGTGATATTGAGTATTGATTTTTTTTCCCCTCATAGAAAATAACATTGAAAACCAGGCGCTGCAGTAATGCAGGTTTGTAGATTTAAGCAACATCTACAACAGAACATCATATCAATTCCCTGTTTAATCTTCGGCCCTTTTGTTTTCTTGCACACTAAACCCCAGGTGGATTCGTCCTCATTGACTTGTTTTTATTGTTCAGCTATAAGAAATGACACATGTAACTCCTGTTGACGGTTCCAGGCTTCCTTCCCTGTCATATCATTTGATTGTCTTTGGTTGAATTTCTATGTAAGCAACCTTAGACGAGCCACGTATATACAACAGTTTGCGAAGGCCAATACGCTGTTCGAGTACACCGAATTCCACTGTAATCAGAGCATAGCTGTTATCGGCGTTAATGGGGAGTACATTTCTAAAAACACTCAAGCACATTGTCTTCAAAAGCTCAGTAACGACAAGTTCTACAGAACAAACACTCTCAATGACTTTGAAAATGTGTACATCTCACGGAAAAAAACACACGTAATGACATCTTCTTAAATATGCATCTTCTTCATGAATGATGACCATTCAGCTGCCTCAGTTAAGATATATGTCCCTAGTTCAATGCATTTAAATCAGATTTTCTTTTTACTTTGAGAGGTTACTGGACTAGTGAGTGATCGGAGCTGAGACTCAACCCCATCTTTGCAACGTGTCCTTCAGAGTGAAGGCAGTTTCTGCAGTCCTCAAATTCCTTAGGAGAATATACACCATATGGTAAATGATGGTGGAGGGAAAGAGAGGGAACTACAAGTCCTCTCATTTTTAGATTGACACCTTGGAACTGTACAGAAATGTCTTTAAGGCAAATGTGAAAACCGAGAAACACCAGTGACATAAAGCATGCAACGGTAAAGTCTGCAGCAGCAATATTAAGAGAGGTGAGATTTAAAGAATGCGTTTACATTCACAACTGTATGGCTTGAATGCATCTCCTTACTCATACACCATTTGTAAAGCAAATGATCTTGAATAGGTCTAAATTGTACATTGTTTAGGTCCACATTTGCTAGCTTGCAGAACATCACAGGGGACCTTTAAGTACCACCAGTTTTTTTGTAAGATAAATGGATCAATTTAGTGGCACAATTGTTCCACACACTACTAATCCTGATGAAGCAGAAAGAAAACAAAGCTGAAAGGTCTTCCATGTTTCGTTGTTGATGTATGAAGGCTATCTAACTAACATTTTATCAAGGGAACCCAGCACCATTAGATGTTTACATGACCTGTGAAGTTAAAGGTGGGCTTCATGGGGTTGTGCATTTCAAGTCAGTCAAATTGAAATCGATTGTTCAAACTGCATGTGCATCTAAGCCACTGTGAAGTTTAAGATGCAGAGAAAGAAAGATATGGTGAAAAAGAGAGAAGGACACAGAGAGAAGAGTTGGAGGGAAGTCTACGAGTACACATCCTTGAGGCCCTCCTGAGAAGTGCTGGAACTCCGACTGTGTCTCCTCCAGGGTCCATTACAATCAAAGTGCCAGACTGCGAGCGTTGGAGGCGGAGGCCTGCGCTCGCTGCACCACCCCTGGACACTTTTCTCTCTTTTGGAGCTTGTGGTTTTGGAACAAGCCTTCGTTTCGCGGGACGCCATGAGCTCCATCCGAGAAGGTCAACAGCCCTGAAGGCACAGACACACACACACACACACGCACACACACACGCACACACAGGGCACCATGACCAACCACAGAGGGACTACAGGCGTCCAGGTTCAAATGTTCCAGAGGTGAAATAGACTTACCATATCCCTCAACGCGTCCATCTTTGAATTCTCCCTCAAACTTCATGCCATCGTATCGACCGAAGACTCCTGCGCCTTGAAACTTTCCGTGTAAAAATTCTCCTTCGTACCTGAAAGGGTTGTAAAATGGGAGGGTGTCGTTTCTGTACCTCCTGATCGAGGACACGACTTGCTTCCTTTTTTCCGCTGACTCACCTGGATCCATCCGTGAAGAGCAGTACACCGGAGCCATGGAAGAGTCCGTTCTCAAACTGGCCAGAGTAGCGGGTTCCGTCCTGGAACTTGAGCTGGCCGACGCCATGCCTCCGACCTGGAGAGTCGCCCATTAAAGTCAAACAGATGATCAGAAACAGAAATCCTCTCAAGGAAAACCATCTTGTGGATTCAAATGTTATCCTCGTGAGTGTCATCACTCCTCATCTAACCACTTAGTTTCTTTTGGATTAATCTTTCTTAATAGCGTGTACTATACTGTAAGAGATGACCAACTGAGATTGACGTTTGAACTTGCAATGCGGCTCAGGGTTTTATATTCACTTGGTATTGGAGCGGGACTACATATGTCAGAAGTCAGTGCCTACTGGGATTTAGGTATCCTCCCCCCCCCCCCTGTCTGTCAGCTAAAGGTTTACTACTGAATTAGGAGTCCCATCTGCCTCCTGTGTGGTGGGAATTACGGCACTCTAATCCAGCAGATTTTTTAGCAGGGATTTCCACTTTAGGATTCCGGACTGCGAAAGCGGTCAAGGAATGTACTTGCATTGATCCACCACTGAAGCTGGGATTCATGTAAGACGCCACACACCTAAAGGTTTCTGGGCCACTTCGACAACTTGTTTACGGCCCCGTTGTCCTAACAGGAAAAGCGGGCCGAGTGGCCCGTGAAGGATGAAGGTACATACCAGTTAAAATGGTGTGTGCAGTGTTTGCGTTAAATTAAAGCAGCTCAAAGTTATTCCAACACTTGATGCGAAGATAGAACAAAAAATCCTGATGATCTTGTGCACAGTATTTAACAGGAGTTAGTTTCTCAGCGACAGCTGACACGGGGCTCTAAGATTTCCCAAACAGGTCCAAAGTCTAATCCAGAAGATTTGACAAAGCCAGAGCTGGTAAATCTGTCTCTGTTCGTCATGGGGACCCATGCTAGCTAATTGGGATTCGATTGAACAGCTTGAGCTTGCATGTCACTAACATCACACAATGTGTGTGTGTGTGTGTGTGTGTGTGTGTGTGAGAGAGAGAAAGAGAAGCAAGCATCCTTGTAATCTTCGCCACAAGTGAAACATTTAAGAAAGATTTAACATTTTAAAAAGGCAGTTATCCTAGCTAAAGATTTTCACCCCATGAGTATCGTCACCAAAGAAATCCCAATAAGGTTATTAACACAATATCCCTAGAAAGTAGTTTGATTAACATGATCAGTCTAATTTATCTTTAACTATGTCGATTGTGCGTTTCTTATGATCCCGTTCTGTCACAATACATATTCCCTGGATAATCAAAAACACGAATTCATTGAATTTGCAGTTGTCGCTCTGCTCAGCGATAGCTTTGTTAATTTGATCACAATATACTTGCATGTGAGCCCAAAACCACGTTTGAGAAATACAGTGTGGGAGTAAAAACCTGCACGGAAAAGATGAGGTCTTTTAGAAAAGTAGCATGCCGAGAATCTTGACAAGATGAACTTAAAACGGCAACTATACTATACTACTGTACTGTATTCTGCTGTAGGTAAATTAGTGATGCTTGCACACAAACTTTATTTTAAAAAGGAGAAGTAGGAATGCCTTGCCTTCTTTCCACTCGCCGTGGTACTCTTCCCCACTGGCGTAGGTGAAAGATCCTCTGGTCAGAGTCATGTCCCCCTCTGTTTTTAACACACAAACACACACTCATTGGCAAAAGAGGCATCTGACCTCAGTGTGGAGGGAAGCGAGCGAGCGAAAAGAACATTTTCATTTTGGGATTATTAGTCCACGAAGCGGGGAGAGACAGCAGAGAGAGATTGTGTATTTCGGACAGAAAATACAGTAATGTTGCACTATTTGACCAGTTAAATGGGAAAAGACAGAAAATATCCCGCATTAAACTCAGTAGCATACAGCGCCATGTGACCACCCAGTATTCAGGTTCCCCACAGTATCAAACACCATGAATAAATTAGCTTGAGGGTTATTTTACAGGACAGGCAGCTTTCACAAATGAATATCTGAAGCAGGTTGTATTCTGTCTTTGGATTCTTAAATACTGGGGAAATTGTTGATAATTATAAGAGCATGTTGTAGTAGTGCAACTTTAACCAGAAGTCAAAGACAACTTATATCACGTTCTATATCTGTCCCGCCTGAGGACACTGCTGGGTGCCATGCGGTGCGTGGCGTGTGTGATGGTGATGGTGCAGGTGTGGGCGCAGTGAGGGCGGAACGCATCCTGTGACGGAAGCGGCTCCTGGACGTGAGACTGTGGCGTGACTGCAGACACCAACAAAAGCGCTCAGTGAAATCATTTGTTTAAAACAAATGACCGTGTTGAACACGACGGACGCCAGGTGTGATGTGATCACAACCTCTTGGTCTGTCTTGGGATGAATAATGTTCGGCTCACAACAATGTTGGAACACTAACGATGTTGTAAATATGACATTTCGGCTGCCAATACGTTTAAATCTGTGCAACCTATATATACACATGCATGTGGCTAATTGGCTACAGATATGTAATGACAAGCCTATGTATGTGAATCGATTGTAACATATTGCAAGGAAACTATGAGCGAGAAGCGATAACGCCTATTAATGGTATAATTTACCTGTATGCTACGTTTGTTGTCTCTGAAGCATGGAAACCAACCTACAGGCGCGGAGGGGCGTAGAAATATGAAAACACCGGCTGGGAAACGTATGCCGCATTCAGGGGATCCTCGTAAGCTCCTAAATCCAAGAGTCTAGAAACGCATTAGCATAGGCCTTTAGATTTACTCTGCGTCTTTAGTCACAAAATAATCCAAATATTTAATGAAAGAGTTAAGCAGCCGTTGTTTTGCTTTAGAAATTGCCGTGTCACGTTAACTACACGAAAAAGGAAAATGTCTTCCTGAGTAATTACATTAAGTACAGTCCTACTTTGATGTACCTTTTATGCTCCCTTATCCATAACTACCCAACCAAACAACTATGATAGGGAGCTACCCCCTTTCAGCAAGTCGGGTTTGGGCTTTTTGTTGGCGCATTGCGTTCATGCGCTGCTCAGCACTGGGTTGCAATAATTCCGCCAGCACTTGAAGGCAGCTTTACGACAGCGTCACTGCAGCGTCACCGCCGCACTGTTTCATTGCTGGGCTGCTGTTCAACTTTCTCCGATTGGCCTACTGCGCTACTCTTCAGAGACTGTGTCAGACATGTTGATAAAAGGCTCCTGGACAATTGTGTGCAGCTAATCAGAGCACTCAAATCAGCAGTTTATTTGTATTTTAGGTTATATTTTGTGAGATGTGTTGGCCATAACATACAAAGTGACTGGACTGTATATTAAGATGTTGTTATTATTATTATCAACAACACTGCTGTTACTACTACTATTACTAAGACTACCATCACTATAAAATATCAATTACAACAATAACAGGTATGTGGGTAACTTAGTTTAAGTAATTTCTTAAAACCCTTTTTACCAGAATAGAATTTATTATACTGAATAGATAGCAATGTTTAGCCTAATGTGTCCAAACAATGTTTGAAAAGCTGTTATAGATTGTTCCTGTTTCTGAAAATCAAATTAAGGCAACATCTAAATCTAGGATTAGGCATTGCACACAGAAAGTGACTGTCAAACTATTTCAAAGAACGTAGGCTACAACAAATCTGACCTGGTTTAAAGGTAAAGATCAGATTAACTTGCTTGCGAGGCACTAGGAAAAGTCGGATAAACATCAAAGCTGGATACATTGTTGGATAACTGAATACCTGCACAACCAATCATAACAATATATCAAGTAATTATTAAGTTGTTAAATCTGAGGATCAGCTAAATCATGGCAATCCAAGTATTGTCAAGAGAGTTCTGTCGCAACTGTTAACCGGCGATTAACCGTGACAAATACTGTTAAAATGCAGTATCTGCCTTGTGACCACACAATATTTCCATGTAGTAAATCTGGGCCCTAGAACGTTTGGAGCCCATAGTTGCCCACTTCCTATGGTCAGTATTCTAGCCTCGGGTAGTCTATTCAATGCTTAACACAACGATAACAACCAATGAAGGAAAAATACACCTCGGTCACATTTGATTGAAAAATAGGATGTCAACCTTAACTCCACATTCATATTTATCATTAAGTGCAAATAGCATATTTTTGGTTTTATTGGTGAGTTGAATATATTAATCATTATTATTATTATTATTATATATAATGACTTAATCCGCATATTCATTAACTTAATCACTGATTTAGTTAACACTATTTGGTGTGGTTGCGCTGAGAACGAAGCCTACGTTTCCCTCTGGAGTGATTTCCTCCTCGACACAGAGGTGCGCGTTCACATAGCGGAGCGCTTCCTCCTGCCGAGCTCGTGCCCGCCACACAAGAACGATAGAAAATGGCGAGTCAGTGTAAAAGCCAGCAATGCACAATCGACAGGCGCGGCTTTCGGCAGGAACTTGATTCTTGGCGACACAAACTCGTTCACTGTGTAGGTAAGGACGAAGCCAGCCACGCGGCGTACGATTTTGCCGGTTGAATTGCATATCTTTGTGGCTGTTATCGATGTAAATACCCCCTCGGTAAGCCGACTCTTCTCGGCGCATCTCCGTGCGACTTTTTGTCCTCAACTGTTTCCTTCTCGCGCTAAACCCGGCCGAGCAGTTACCCCCAAATGTTGCATTTTGTGACACTGTTTCGGTACTTTACGTTGTTCCCCCTTCGTTTTTACTCTTTAAAAATAAATCCCAACAGCAGAATGTTGCGTTATAAGTTATCTAACGTTCCGGTGGCGCGTCGTTAGTTTGTTTAAAGGGCACCGTGCTTGTTTTTTAAAGGGAGTGTCTCCGCGCGTCGCGTCGGCCTAAAGACCCCGTTTGATGAAACGCGCGTCCCCGCGGGGTGATACTGTAGCTCGGGTGGGGGGAGGGAAGCCGTTGGTGGACGTTCAAGCCCGCTCGCTCCTTTCGGATCACCTCCGGTGGGCGCGCAGTGTCGCTTTGAGGAAGTGGCCGAGACCCCGCCGCTGCTGCTGGGGGGGGAGTTTCCGATTTCGACGACGTTACGCGAATAAACTCCAACGTTAGGCTCCTTTAAAAAAAAAGGGTAATGTTGGGGTATTAGTGGTTTGACGGTCCTGTTATTGCGAATGGTGTGTGTGTGTGTGTGTGTTTCGGTGGGAATTTAGGCTTAAAATCTAAAGTTGTAGTGGGATAGTGCAGGCCATGTGTGCAGGAGAGGACACAACCTACATTCAGGGCTTTTAGAGACAGTTGGTGGCTCCACCACTTGGGTCCAGACTCAAATGTGTTCCTCCAGCGTGGAACCTTCGGCTTGGTGACATTTCTGCCCAAATAGGTTAATAAGCTGCATGCAGTTCCCTCTATAACGTCCCTTGTTCACAGATGATTAGTGTGCGCACGATGGCTGTTGGATTTGTTGGTTAATAAGAATGTTGATTTATCTGCTGTTGAGAAGTAAAACAACATGACATTTCTGTGGTTGACTGTGACTTTTCTTCTGAAACAATTCATGATATCAATTCAACAATTCAACATATCTTGTAAAGGTCTCTGTGATACATTTTATAATCCGCTCTCACTACTCCGCTCCATACACACACACACACACACACACACAGAGATGGCTTATGTTTACATTAGTCGTCACTATTTAATAGAAAGGTTTGAGGGAGGGGGGAGAGAGGGGGGAGGCCATTTCTAAATCCATCCCATGCCGACCTTTTTCTTTTGGCTTAGTAACATAGCAACAGCCACTGTGGACACTAAGCATCATCTAAACAAGGCGCAGAGAGTTGCTTATTGACCCTAATGTTCAAATCACATCAGCTTTTCTTCTTCTTTTTTTTTTTACTTGTTCAGTGAGAATTCATAGGAACTTGAAATAATTTCCTGTTTTGAAGGAAGCATGCTTTATTCATGGCCATTTCCATTTTATACATTGATGCCTGCTTTTGAATGGATATAAAATATCATGCAAACGTCTATTACAAGGACAAGGAGCTTTACGCCCACAGATAAATTGTCAATCCATTTCTTTGGTACGGGTCTCTGTCATATGTTATGCAATATACAGTGTTTCACTGCAGTTATTTAATGCACAAACTGTCTTTCAGGGTTTTTTTTGTGTGAGGTTTGCCTGAGTATTAAACCAAATTTGAACAACGGGAGGCAAAATGTAACTTAAAAGCCATAATGCTGCTTCTGACGCTGCTGATCTCAAAATGTCACATTAAATCAATGTCAATCTAAAGCTGCCGCCATGTATAGGTCTTATTTACATGTGTAATACTTGTACAAGGCTTGACATTAGTTTATGGAGTAGTTATGTGATGTGTCAGGAGGCATTCAGACTACATCTCAAAGAGATATCTACTTAGTTTATGTTTTATTAAGATTCCCCCTGCTTTAGGAGTAAGGTGGTGTTGCATGTTAAACATGTTCAGCTCTTGGTTTATTCAGGGAAGGATAGATGCTGACTTCATCTAGAACAAGTGCAACAAAACTAATGCTTTCCGCCTCCTGCTCGTCAGTCGTAGTCCAGCTCAACTCATTTTCAGGTCCAACTTCATGTATCATGTTTTAGGCATCATATATTGGTCCACATTACAGTCCTTGCGCTTATAGTAAAGCTATAACTACTAGTTGATGGGACTTTGTATTCCAATTGTATTTGCTACTGGCTTTAATAGGAATTATTTCAGCGATATCTGGAGACTGATTACAGACTACAATACTAGGTGAGCTTTGTGCTTTTGTTCACCTAGTACACAGCAAATTGTGAGCGAATAATAGTTTTCTGACTAAACACTAGCTGCAGGCCCAGGACTGCTCACTTAGTCAGTTAAGCCCTTTATGATTGACAAATGTCCCTTGTGTTTGGGCCACGACGGCAAAGCTGCAGAGTACATGACAACGGCATCAGTCTGCATGCTGCAGAATGGCATATTCTGTCCGTGACAACAAGGGCACACTTTTGTTTGGCTTTTTGGTGGAGAGGGCTGCACGCCACCGCCACCCTGCTGACGCTGAAATGGACATTTTGTCTTTGTGTATTTAATGTGTGCGGTAAAACTGCAGGGCAAAGACAAGGGCAATTGTCCCCTGGAACAGCAGCAACAATTGTCTGCATGTTTGCCTATACATGTGTTCATGGTCCACCAGCCCCTGGATGAAAAACTGGCACTGAAAATGTCTGCTCTGTCGGATTTGGGAAAAGTTGTGCTGGAAAAGCACCAGCTGATATTTGAGAATGCCAGTTATTCATGCTTGCTTTGGGCATGTGGGTGAGTGGAATTGAGTAACTGCTCAAGCAAATGTTGACATCAGGCAGATTGTCTTGTTTATTATTTAAACTTTAGCTTGTCCTGTTATTTTTTTTGTTCAGGCTCTGATAAGCTGTTAGCCTACTTTTTTCCTTGTTTGCTATAAAAACGCCCATCTGGCTGAGGTTTGTTGACACACTGACGTACCTTTTTGTGGAAAGCAGAGAAGGAAACGGAGAGTAGCTTTTTAGATGGGTAGGCATGCGGCTCGGTCTATACGGGGATGAAAATAGTCGTGTACTGTAGGTCGACTAATTTGTGCAGTTTTTACGTCTCTGCACTCATCCATCCCGTCCAACATCTTTGGAGAGCATCGCTCGAGGATATTAGTGACCCTCTTCATACAAAATTACCCTCCATGAGCAGTGCAATGTGAACATAAGTATGATTATTTCTTTAAATAAAAAAATAATTTTTTAGACTATGATGGATTCTTAAAAGATAGAATTTTTAATGGAGGGTCAATCCCTCCAGCACTTCCAAAGGATGTAGCTCAACATGGCAGATTAAGCAAGGTTTATTTTGGCTTCATACTGGTTTTAATTTTCTGCGCGCTTGTGGGCACTCCTTGTGAGATAGCATGTGTACAGTAGTTTGAGTGGGGGATGGGCCGAGTGGGGGTCGATGCAGCACTGTACATGCTCAGCACTGGAGCGGCAGAGAGCACTGCAGTGGTGTGATGAGGCTAAATGTTGGTGCTTGATATTCCTGTTTAAGGCAGGACATAAGGCAGGTTAAGAATGTAACCTGCATTTACCGCCCCCCCTCCCCCCTCCCCTCCACACACCATCCCTCCCCCGCCCTTTAAAAATGCAAAGGGTCAGGAGGAATAATGGATATAGAGGGAACTCGTGTTGATCACCATCATAATGTACTTGTTTTGAAAGATACACAGACTGTATCCCGGCTACCTAACAGGGTTACAGAATGTTGTCAGGGGAGAGTGTTTGTTTGTTTGTAGCAAGCGCAAAAACAACATTTGTGGCTTGTCGGGTGAAGTGGAAGTTTTAGGAATGCTGCTTATTAAACGGGTAGCAGAAGAAGTTCCATTTATTTTACCCCCAAAATGTCACTAAGCTTTTTTTATTGCTTAGCAGGACAAGTTGATACATACTTTGTTGCAGTTAATCCGTATCTGCAACGTATTATCTTCCTGATAAAGCATTGTGAATATGACCAAAAAATCCTTTAGCTACTGATGAGACACATGCATACTGCAATATTGTGTCATTTTCCACAGAAAAAAAAATAATGTTCTCATTTTTTTAACTAGTCAAACAATTTGGACATTTTGTAACTAAAATATACATGTCGGAAGTCACAGTGGTGTGATACTTTAGAAAAATACCCTGTAGGACTAGACCACACGGCTAGTATCTGTCACTCAATTTGGATGACGTTATTGTGTATCAAGATATCTCAAAATATTATCTCATCACAATATTATTTCCATTGAATGATTCTACTGACGCCAACTATCCTATCTTCTCAATGCTGTTTCCTCCCACTTCCATTTAGGGGTTTTATTGATTTGTTGGCAGTATTCAGTTAGGTTCTCCTTCAGCATTGACATTGGAGAATTACGTTTCCTCTTTATGAATTTCTTGTATGCCATGAATCACAATATTGGAGGGAATGCATTGCACTGTTTAATGTACTAGCACCGCTCAAATGACCAAGGGGTCAGTCAGTGCATGCTAAGGCTGAAATGGAACATTTTGGCTAAATTACAAACACACACCAGTAGCCAAAGTCAATAAAGAGGGTTTGTATTGTGCTCCACTGACACACATACAACGTAGGTTAAGAATCAGATTTGAGGATTTTGGGCTCATGGTTGGTTCGTGGTATTTTGTTTTCTTTAAAGTGCTGGTGAAAAAGGTGCCGCACACTTCTAATAATTCCTTTCTTCCTTTTTCTGATGGGCTAGAGAGTGTTTACTGTCGTCACCATCCACGGTCCTAATCATGCTGTTTAGCCGATTGCCGTTGTCCTTTCTAGTTTGTGCTTGTGGCAACGTGTCTGATCGCATTCCCCAATTGTAACATGTATCCGCTCTGCGCATCAACCCTGAAGTATTTTGCCGCAGCAGCCTCAAGGAAAGATCTTCATCTTCATGATCTTCAGGAAAGAAAGTTTCATGTTCCAGATTTGAGGCTGCTGCTTAAGCGTATTCACGGATCAAGTCCCAATCCCAAACACCGTTGTTCACTTTCACTTAGTTGATTTTTTTTTTTTTTTGTCTTTGTGTGATATTTATTTTCTTGTTAGGAATACTTAGTTTTGTCAATAACAAAGTGGAGTATTAAACTACCACATCAATAATTGTTTTGATAAGATGTGAAAGTACTCATTGGAAACTATTACGAGTTCGCTGAATGTTGGTTCTGAAACAGACTTGAACTGCCTTCAATTTATACCAAGCCTCTCTTGGCTTGTTTAGTCATTACGTTGATCCTGAACTTAGGTAATCAAAAGTATGCTTCAGCACAGTTAAAAAAAAAAAAAAAGAAGTACAATGACATTCATATTTATAGGAGAGTTATGAGAAAAATGAATGGCATTGTTGTATGAATGGAATGAGAACTGCTTTTTATACTGCACTTAAAATATCTGTTCATTGGTCATAGTTACAATTGAATACTTATTATTTATCAGCGAAAAACCCGCTGTGCTCATCTCCAACACAGCGACGATTTAAATTTTTTATTTAAGCAAAGACCCATTATGCTGTTTAATTTTTAATTTCAACATACCTCAGTGAGCTGAGCCTTCACTCAACTATAAATTACCTGGAGGAAAGCCACAGTCTGAATTTGGAGTAAATTAAATATAACAAGCCGACAAGGGTTGGAAATAGCAGAGTGGGATTTGGACCCATCGTTCTCCTCCTATAGAAAGATGATTGGCACGGATGAGTACGTCTCCCCGCTAAGGGACGATCTGCATTTCAAATAAAAGGCTACAATTTTTTCTAATTGAGCTCAGCTTCACGTTGTCAATGCGGGCCTGTAGGTGAACACCCCCCCCCAACACTAGCCTGATTAGCCTGATGTCTTTGTTCTGATTGAGGTCTCAATATAATTAGCTATTGTGCCCGCTGGGCTACTTTTCCTTTGTGTGGTTATCACTGTGTACCTGTGTACTCTGCTTTTATTGTATCCGTGTGCTGTTCACCGTAGGTCAAACCAGAGCTATGCGGTAGTGGCTCATTTGTGGCCTGATTCCCTCTCCAGTAACCGAATGCTGAATGTTCCTTTAAAGAGGTGACCTGCAAAGAAAGAGTTGCTTCTGGTTCCAACGGTGCCTCGCGCAATACAACTTTCATTAAACACAAGCCAGTCCCGGTCATCGTTTATTTTGACTCTGGCCAGTATCCAGTTTTTATTCTCATTTATTTTGTAGAGCATTCATGACAGATACACACGCTATAAATATTTTATTGTTTGCACGTGTAGGCAGCATGCTTTTCCAAATTTAAAGTGGCTGTTTTTGTGCGAGGAGGCTCGTCTTCGTTAGTCACTTCACCACACCGCGATCCACGAGACGGCGTTCACATGTTAATAGTGCCTCCAAAGTCATGTTTTACACCATGACACATTTTTGAAATGCCCCAAACCGAATTCCTAAAGAGTAGTTTGATGTCATAACGCTGCTCTGTCAAACGAAAGTGGATGACCTACTTTCCTCTCCCTGCCTCTGAAATATTTCAGAAATAGGATTGGATAGCTGAAGTCCTGTGCACTAACCCAGAAACAGGCTCACGCTGCAGCTATAGGCAAAGCTGTGTTTCACCCCCCCCCCCCCCCCCTACCCCAACCCTCTTTATGTTTGGCTGTTGAAAAGTGGGTGGGAATTTGTAGTGAAGCAGAGCGAGGGCTTTTTAACAGATGACCGCTTTTTCACGGAGTTTAGGAAGAGTGTAGGCGATAAGGGCTGTTGTCTTTTGTCAGATTTTGTTATCTGTGAAGACGCACTGTAAGTAGACGACCAATTCAACACTTTTGTCTAGTTTAACCTGTGAGAATGATTTTTAATGTAGGTTTAAATACTACAATAGCTGTAATCTTTTTTTTACAATTATGTTTGTCGTTGGCATAATGGTTCTGATTCATGACCTGCTTTTAATTTTATTTCTGAGCCCATTGGGAATGACACTTATTCAAGAACTGCTTGTGTAGGCAGATGTTACCTCTGACCTCTTTAGCGCTTGTTTTAATGCATGCAGTGTTTTTGGATTGGTTTCGCTGCTGACCCTGTGGCAGTAAACTTGCACACTTTTAATCCACCGTTAAGTAGAGTCCGATGCGGGATGACACATTCTCTCTCAAGCAGCTGGGACTGTAGGATCCCACAATCTCATCCATGATGCATTGAAGTTTTTTTTTGCATGAGTGTGGAATAGTTTTTGGGTTAGAATCTTATAAGTTGAATAACTGTAAACTCTCTGGTTTTGGTAGAATTCTAACATTATATGGGCTACTTTTACACCACAGCCGTTTCTGGCTGTCTCCTTTTAGCGTGGCAGCATGAAGTCACTTCCAACTCTGTAGCTGCTTTAGTTGCCTGGCAACGGGAGGATGGAGTGAATGTATGTCCTGTTGAAGTAGAAACCTGTGGGGAAAGCTGAGCATATGCATTTTGATAGAAGCAGTTGGTGCTTATATGGCTTGTCAAGATGAAATTGGAGGAGGATGCTTGGTGAATGAGTTATCATTATCATGTTAAGTGTCAGGGACGTACAGTCCACCAGGCTCTGACTCACTAAACGACATTTTTGCCCTTGGAGGCATATGTATGTCCTTAACAGGGATTTGTGTTGCGTCTCTATTCTACTGCTGTTCCCGCATGGAGCCTTGATTTAAGTGTTTACATGCATGTATGTATTTATTGAACTCTGTCTGTCCCCAGGTTTCGAGAGCATCCTCGAAGGTCTGTTTGGTCCAGAGCTGATAGACGACCCAACATTATTTAAGGGTAAGAACCTGAGCATTTTCACTTTCACAAACCGTAGCGATGATCATACAAGCGTATGGCTGACATGAATAACAATTTTGTGGTTCAAACATTACGCGTTATCGGGGCATTATGACAGTGCTGCTGCTTTGTACCATCTGGTACCCCTCCACATTCACTCGACAAGACGGCCCCTCTGGCTGCAGAAGAGAAGATGCCTTGTGCTGATACAAAGTTGGTGTTTTGGATGGCGTGGGGCCAGTGTAAAAGTCCACAGTGTCCTACAGACATGTTTACAATACACGTTGTCTGTGGAACAAGAGTGGACATTATTTGGGGTTTCATTATATTTGCAGTGAGCGAAACTGCCACATTTTAAGTCGACTTTCTGCAGTTGCAGTTGGGGACGGTGGCTTCTGATAAATGTCTATCTGCTTCTGATTCAGTCAGTCTCACTAAAACACTTTGACAGGCATTGGTCTCGGCTATAAGTTGGCCATAAATACACTTTTAAAGAGCAATAAGAAGACTGTCACTCACTTGCATTTCATTTGCTTCTCGTCTGTTTTATGTCCATAGACTTTGAGCCGACAGCAGTCTCTGACTGGTCATTTGATGAGAATTGTCTTTTCTGTTGTTTGCGACGAGATAAAGTGAAGGTAAAAGTTCTTTTTTTTTCTTTTTTGATAGCTTCTATCCTAATTGTAGTTGGGTGTAGCAGAAGGAAAAAATAGACTTGGGGATCGTTTTTGAGTGTAATAAATGTAAACCTGCTCTTCCCATGCATTTTCCATTTGATATGTATCCTATTTAAGTAGAAGACCACTGATTTAACAGTTTTGTTATTTTACAGGAACACCTAATTGGCTTAAGCAACAAGGAGCTTGAGGATTCACCCAAACCTCTACTTGTTAAAGATCCGACCGCAATAAGCAGACTAGAAAAACAAGCTGAGGAATTTCTCAATGCGGTCCTCAGCAGAAAAGGTGAGTCTTCATATCTCAGTGATAGTGGGCTTAGTGCATGATGACACTATTGTGCTTATTAATTAGGGGTGGGGGATTTTTTCGATTTCTCTCTAGAAATTCTCAATTCTCTCTAGAATGATTCGGTCTCGATTCAGAAAAGTTAATAATCGGAATAAAAAATTTTAAAAAGCCCGTCTCGCGAGAAATATTTGCTCCCTCGCGGAGCGTGAACTTCCTCACTCGCTCACCGGTTTGTCAGTCTGAATCTGTGAATATCTAATAACTTTACCGAACTATGAAGGAGCCTGCGCATATCTTACCTCATTATTTCGATTTTCCAAAAAGTCGATCCGTATTGAAAGTTGGCAAGATATTCACAGATTTGGACTTTTTTCCGGTATTTTACAAATGCGGACCGGTCTGAGACTAAGAGCAGCTTTTTCTTCATTTAAAAGAAAAGTGAATCTGTTTAATATTTTTTTTACATAGGCTACTTTCATATTGTGTTGAAATGCAAGCTGCATTGGTTCTTGCATTGTTGATGCAGCTAAAATCATATTTGTGATTTTTTTTTTCTCTTATAAAAAATGAGTGAAGGTAATTCATCTGTTGATTTTCTTTAATTATCAAATAAAGTAGGAAGTGATTAGCAACCTCTGAGTAGCAAACTCAGAGGTTGCAGACAGAGAGAGAAAATTTAGAAAATCGAGATGCATCGATAATCGTTTTATCAGTTTAGAATCAATAATCTGTTTAGAATCGGTTTAGAATCGAATCGTTGACCTCTAAATCGGAATCGAATCGTGAGGTGCCAAGAGATTCCCACCCCTATTATTAATAGAGAACCTGCCTGCAGACAGGATGAAGTACGCTATCATCTGAATGTTCTACGCATGAATTGTAATGGCTTCAACTACAGCACTGATTTGGAATTGAAAAATGACTTAGCAGTTATTGTTTTGGGTTTTTTTGGCCGGTTTATCGGCCAGGTACCAAACTTGCTTTCAATCTTACCTCATGTTTATTTTGTTTCAGATGTGCCAAATTTCTCTGACCCACACATCCCAGTAGTGGCTCGCGAGATCCTTCAGAGAATGATCCGACAGTTTGCTGCCGAATATACCTCAAAAACCAGCTCCCCTCAGGACAGTGGCTCCGATTCCCAGCCTTGCTTTGACCAAAGCCTGCCGACCCCGTCCCTGCTCTCGGGGGCAGATCCGTCTACCAGCCCCGCTGCCCCCCCCCTGGCTGCGCCTGCTCACAACCAGAACCCTGTCCTCAGCAAGCTCCTCATGGCCGACCAGGATGCTCCTCTTGACCTCACCATCAAGAGGCCGCCGGCTGTGCCGCGTGACCAAGGTAGTGTGAGCACATCTGTGACAAGGCAGCCGATGCACTGGTGAAAAGCCTGACTAAACCTAATCGAAACTAAATAGATTTGTTTTTTCCCCCCTTACCTTTTTTGTCAGATGGAGTTCTTGACTTATCTATCAAAAAGAGTCGCTGTAGCAGCACCAGCAGCTTGCCTGTCCGTAGTCCCTGCCTGTCTCCGGCCACATCCACGCTCAAAGGGTAAGATGGGATCCTTTTTTACTTTGACGCTTTAGTCTCAAGTCTTTAAGCAGCAATAGTTTTGAGGATTATGTGGTGTAGGATGAGTAAAAAAAAAAGAAGAAAAAGATTTGGACTGAAGGCGTAGCGGCATGAATGCGTGGGGTTCGAGTCCTGAAATTAGAGATCCCTTGGCCAGTTGATGGCTTGAAAAAATTAACCGCCGGTTGGTGCCTTGATGAAAATGAAAAAACAAACAAGGTTGTGCTAACAGAAGTGTTTTTTTGCCACAAAAAAAAATGGGTCAGGGGTTTTAACCAACTGCTGCAGATTAAATATTCCTTGTGCTCCCGTTACTGGAGTGTGCATTTAAATCTCACTCCGGTACGTCGTTGTGGATGCAGTTTGTATCATGCTGCCATTCAAAATAAACGACCTGTCCAACTGGTAGATAATAGAGATGTTTGGTCCTAATTGCATGTCCAAGAAGTCACTGGTTTTGCCAGCTGGAGACTGATTAGGCAACATCTTATAAGTTTGTGAGCTACTGTGGCTTAAAAGGATTCTGTGAGAGCGGTCTCGTTTTTAATCATTATTATCTGGCAAGGCACCAGCTGGCCTGATGATTATGATGATTTAGTGAAGGGCTTATAGCCTTCCTATCATTAACGCATCTTGCTTCACCTTTTGTCACAAAAGTCCTCTTTTAAAGGACTGTAGTCCCGAATAAATGCAGTGGAAAGTGTGTGTTTTTTTTATTGAAAGTGAGTCCTCAGTGGCTCAATTGATTCTAGATGATTTGTTTGTAGTAGTAGAGATGTTAAAATGAATTCTTTCACATCTGCTCGCTATGTTCCTCTCTAAAGGAAGGAGTGTAGTCAGTTGTTCTATGATTGATTTTATGTTGTATATATTTCAGATAAACATGATGCACACTTTAGTATACTAGTAGTAGCAGACAATACACACACCCTCTAATGTTGTCATCCACATCAGTTTGTAACTAATCCTAATTGAATTAAAATATATATAATATCATTTATTTTATTTAATAATTTGTCCTGTTGGTTTTTGCTGAGCAAAGCCTTTTGATACAGTTATACAGATCTGGCCTTTTTAAATATGCCCTATAATTAAATTTTGATATGGATTAATTAATCACCAGTGGCTTTGCATGTTCCTTCTGCTCGGACAGCTGATATGATCTAAAGTGATGATCATTCCCTCAGATTTTCATATTTCTTTGAAATATGATTTACAATATGCACTCTTTCCATAGTTTGATGGTACTGATAAAATATAATCTTATATAAAATATAAGTTTTGGGGAAGAGAAATATCTCGTTTTTTAATATATTTTGAATAACCTTTTATCTAGTACAGGCTACATTCTCTTCCTAATAAATATTGCATTTTCTTTTCCTTTTTATGTATTACACACACACGACCCTCTACTGGCTTACTCTTTTATTTCTGCGCTTGTTTGCTGGTCACGTCCCACACAAAATGTCAAGAGCTTCATTAGTCATTTTATATGACATAGTTTGTGTGCCCTGCTTAACAGCTACGTGCCAAGCTGCCGTACTGCTTCTGGCTTTGCGTTACGGGCCAAGACCTTTTACTTACTCCAATAAATGCCCTTTCTTTTGTTTGTATTGTTTTCTTTTACCCTGTTTTTTTTCTTATGTTGATGCAGTTTTGTTTATTTTTTTTCATCCCAGCAAGCAAATAAAAACTTGTCAAACATGAACCTTTTTGTTCTTAAAAGTCACACACAACCTCGCAGTCAGTTATTTTAAAAGATAGTGATAGTTACCAAGAGCAAGGTCATATAATTAAGGAGTGGCCAACATCCTCCCTTCCCCAACCCATCCTCCTTTAGAAACGAGAAAAAAGGCACTGTGCAAGCTCTGCTTACACCCAATTTCCTTCCATCCAATCAGGCGATCCTTGAGGGCGGACGGGCAAGTCGGGCTGTTTATGAAGAGCCTACAGGATGGGAGGAGGAGGGAGAATATCGGCCACTCCGCCCGTTATAAGCCTTCCTCGTCTCTCGCATACGCGCTGCACATCAAAGAGGAGCCGGATGTGGAGAGCGACCCAGAGTCCCCTCTCAGCCGCAGCTCCGCACCTACTGAGCTTTTCAAAAGCGGATCTGCTTCCTGGAATTCCAAAAGTCATTTCGGGGCCCTCCTTAAACTCAAAACCAACAGTGAGGCTAGTGAGCACCTTAAAGACATACCCAGGTTGTTGGAAGCTGCTGGACTTTGGTCAAAGTCCCTTGCATACGAGAAGGGAAACCTCCAGGAGGCCTGCAGGGACCACGGCCTCTCGCTTTCTCATTCTTCATCCTGTGACCTCAAGATTCCCCAGGTGCGAGTTCTGGCAACGGACCCATGTTGGGATTCCCTGTCCACCGTGTACTCCGGGTTGGCTTGTGAGGGCGGTCTGGGAAAGGCCCTTCGCTCCATTCTACCCAGGCAGATCCAGAACAAGAGCAGCGGAGGTTTTAGTAGCTCAGGATCCGAGAAGGAATACTGGCCTCAAGACGCGGATCGCAAATCCCTGCGGGGAAGCTGTCCTCTGGATTCCGAGTCCGACCTGAGTAACAAGCAGCCCAGGAAGAAACGCGGGCGCTATAGGCAGTACAACACTGACCTGCTGGAGGAGGCTATCGAGGTGGTGATGGGAGGGAAAATGAGCGTGTCCAAAGCCCAAACCATCTACGGCATACCACACAGCACCCTGGAATACAAAGTTAAAGAGCGACTGGGCACCTTGAAACATCCACCCAAAAAGAAACTGAAGCTTATAAAGATGGAGGAGCAGAGTGTGTCACAGTCACCGGGGAGGGAGGAATTGCATAACTCCCTGCACATGGTTTCTGAGAAAAGGGAGAGTGCATCGGAAGAGAACGCAAATGATTTCCAGGACGGAAGCCTCTCGTCAAATGATTGATACAATCGTAAAGTACTTTTAAGGATGTGATTTTTAACCAGACAGATGTTGCATTTGCCAGACAGTGGTAGTAGCTGAATTGTTTTCCCATAAAAACTTGAGTTATATGTAACATATAAACCAAATTATCCATTTTGATATGAACTCTCTGCCATACGTTATCTTTTAAAAACTAATTTCTTGGCACCATTAATGTAGTATGTAGCATCAAGTTCATCATTTCTAAGGAGGTGGCGCCCCTCAGTGACATCTCACAGTACTGTGTGTGTGTGTGTGTGTGTGTGTGTGTGTGTGTGTGTGTGTGTGTGTGTGTGTGTGTGTGTGTGTGTGTGTGTGTGTGTGTGTGTGTGTGTGTATGTATTTAGGCCCTTGTGGATGCCAGTGAAAGTCTCTGTCACTGTTTTGCAAATGCACATCTCTGACTGAAATAGACACAGGAGATGTAAGAAAAACTGTTTGTCCAAACACTGTAATATTCAGAGTATTTATTCATCCTAAACACTATATTTAACATATTTATAATAACGTTTGTCATCTAGGTTTCACTTTCATTTTCGATCTGAATTAAGCATGATAGGTTTGTGCTTTCTATATTTTGTTCTGTATGTTTTGCCGTCCTATATGAATGTTCTGTTAATTATTTGTTTTATATTGCCTTTATTGCACTCAGGATACATTTAGATTGGAATGCAGTACTTTTTGGTAAAAGAAAATGTCTCTTCTCATTAAGCGGATCACTGTATATACTCCGATCCCTCGTTCGTTTCAGGATATCCTTTCTGTCCAGTACGCGTATACTGCTTTCAGAGGACTTCACAACACACCTTACCAAGTTTTCAGTAGCATTTCAGTGCCAGTGTAAGCCTTCAGACTTCAGGTATTATCTCTGGGGAAAGACTTTCTCCGAGATACAAGAAGGGCAGAACTTTTCCTTTTCTATTTCCAGTGTATGAAGGTATTCTACATATACTGTACACACTTACACATCGGGCCTGCTCATGGCACATGATAAAGAATTGCCTCTTAGCTATACTCCCCTTGTTTGTGAGGATGATACGCTAGTGACCTAATTATCCACTTTCACAAATAGAGCACGAGCTAAACTCTTGGTATCGGATAACTTTTAACTCTAGATTACATTCAGGTTAGTTTTCAGGTGTTTGCTGCAGGTAGACAAGATAACATGATCAGTTTTATGTCCTAATAACATCTAGAAGCTCTTAAGACCAGTCATTATTTTACAAAAAAACAAACTTTTACCAAGCAATATTACCATTTATCGCTTAACTCAACATGGATAATTGTGCTAGCCTGTTAACATTAGCTAGCTAGGCAAATTAGCTATTGTTACACTCATGCCTCAATCACATCGAGCTTTTTCTGAAGTTACCAGTAGCAAGAATTGTCCATGTGATGAAAACGTGATAATGCATCCATCATCTGCCTATTCTGTTCATACTTTGCTTGCATGATTGAATATATATCTATTCTGGCCAAGCATCTTATGTTAGTCCACTCAGATGTGAATAACTTTGGATCTAATTACAAATTCTAGGCAGGATATTTGTAACTACAGAAACCGAGGGTTGGGTCATGGTGCTGTTCCTGTTCATAAAGGTTTAGGTAAACACCTGTGCCCTGCTGCCAATACATACCACTGCAAAGGGAACTCCACGTCTCTTTGCTCTGCCAGTAATTTGCTTCATGAGGACACCTCATTGAGCATCATCATTTATACCTCAGGACATTCCACAGTATGGGAGCACGGCCCATAATACTTTCATCAGGGTGATGCACAACTCTAGTAAATGTTGGTTATTATTTTATGCAGATTCTTCAGCATTAGACTATTTTGCTTAGATAACGTGGATGTTCTTTTTTTAAAGAAATGATTTCTTCACTACAAGCATTGCATCAGATATTATATTTGCAGGCATGTGATACATAAAATTGCCTTGATTGTAAACGTTTTAGGGTGAGAGTCAGTAGTAACATACAGTTCAGGGACTTGCACACATAATACGTATTACTTGTATGTATAATAGCACTCTAACAATAGTTTAACTTTATGTTAGATGGTAAACTTTACTTGTTTGGCTTCTCTTATTCTGTGTTTTATTCATGTCTTATTCATTCAGGATTTCTTGTCACTTTAAGGTTAAAATCTTCATTATGTCTAACTAATGAAGGACTGCATAGATAGATTGCATAGATATATTCACAAAATATCTGAATAACGCTGGCTCAGATGAAAAAGTAAAACAAAGCACTTCAAGCACACATGTACGGATAATATGATTAAGTCATAGTTAGTCACTAATTCACTGTTGTTAATTAACTTATTCTTGCATTGACAATCCTTCAGCATTCCTCAAAAGGCTCACTTTACGTTCTCATTCAGCGTTGCATTTTAGTTGATGGATTGCTGTTGTTGTGCTGCCAGGTGGAACCTCACTGTCTATTGTAGCGAATCTAATGGTCCACTACCTCATCTGGAAAACCTATATCACAGTCTACTCTTCTCATGGCTGTTTAATGTAGCAGTTTCTCATGTACGCAACACGGACCGGTGTGAAAAACCTAAAGCCAAATAGTTTATAGAAAGAGCTGTCATGAATTATATAAGCTAGTAGAAGGTTGGTCGAAGTGCAACCGCTTGTAATAGTTTAAACTTTTTGGGGTTTGGGTTGTTTTTCACAGCGTTCCCATCAAAAGCATGCTTTAATACGCCCTGCATCGGAGAAACATATGTAGGTCTGGAATTCTTTTTTTACATTTTTTTTATGCAGTCTTGATCGATATTTACAAATTAATGGTTTGATCATCAATTAAGTAACCATGAAATGGCTTTAATCAAACAAGTAATTCTCGTAGTTGTTTATAGACAAGTTGATCATTTTTAGACTAAAGATATTTAACTCCTTTTCATAATAGATGTGATGGGACAAAAGTTAAGATTGTCCCACTGTATTCTAGAGAAAGGTGGCTATCTTTTGCTTGTTTGATATAATATGTGTGGACAAGTGTCTAGAATGACTAGTATCCCTGTCCATAAAAAAAAAAAGTATGTACAGAAAAGGAATATTTGATTTGAACAATGTACAGGAATGACACTGCGTATGTCGTGCATGATCAGACAAAATCATATGCGTCAGTGTGATATTAGTCGTATATGGTGACGTTTATCTTTGAGGCGGTTTTATTGAAAGTACTGAAGAGTTGGTGTGTTTACCGTCAAGTCAACTAGTATAAAGTACAAAGTACTATGAACGTGAAATATCTCTGGACCAGTTCTCAATCTGGTTAACGGTTCACTGAAGATGTTTGATGAACTAGAATAATTCCTAATCAACAGATGTGCTAATGTGCAGTATACGAACATCGTGGACGAGTTTGTGAAATGTTGTTGGAATGAGTTTGGTTTGCTTCTGCTTGTTAGAACGGTTGTTTATGGTTATTTCATTCGTGTGGATGACAAAGGCATGTACTTTATCGGTTCCTTACTGTAATGCTAAGTGAAACAAAGAGCGAGACCCTCAGGGATTCAACACTTGCCACTCATGATTCAGGTACTCCACTTTGCTCCATGCGAAGCTTTGGCGCTTTGCATAAACTAGTTGTCCAATTAAAAATAAAATATGTTCTAATTTGCAAAAAGTTCTATTTGTTGGCATGCTGTAGAAATGAGCCCCATAAAGTAGTACATCTTGTCCTTGTTATATTGTTTGTAATACTCTGGTTGGCACTGAATGTCCATATAACCTCAGTGGAAATAAGTTGTCGACCAATCTTTAATTTAATTAATTAAGTTTCTTTCCAGTTCAGGCGGCAGGACGTTTTTGATTAAAAAGCAAGTGTAGCAGCACTGTATATTCCATCATTTGAGATGTCCGCCTTACTTTGTCACAATGGGAATGTTAGTAGCTTGATATTAAACAACGCAGAATTTCTAGTCGTATACAAATAATGTAAGTTTGTAAGTCTCAACGAACCCGTTCTGCCTGAACGTTCATTGTGCTCCGCAGCACACGCTGCTCGGTCCAACGTTACGCAGCGCAGCCATGTGACACGTCACCTCAGGGATCCAGATGTGGAGATCACAATGAATCTTGGGAAGGACTTTTCTTTTTCTTTCTTTTTACATAGAAAATTACATTTTGAGATCAACATTGATATATATATATATATTTTTGGCATAATGTGATGGTATAAATGTTTAAAAGCTCTTTTAGGGTTTTGTAGTAGACCGACCTACCTCCCAGAAATACAGAAACATGCCCCCACCTAAACAAAACCTCACATGTATGACAATTGTTAACTTTGCATGTTGCGCTTGATTTATTTTTAATAGCTAATATGTTATTGAACACTTGTACCTAAATGTCACCCGTTGCACCATTTATTATACATAAAAACCTGACAAAAATGATGTACTCTATATTTCCCTGAAGTGTATCTGCTCTTTCAAGTGATGAACATGTTTAAATTGTTTTATTCAAAATGGGCAACAGTTACTAAATGTCTTGTGCATGTTGTAAGATTTTCTCGAGTTATACTGTAACAAAAGGCACCATTGTGCAAAAAGGTAAAATGTTATAGCTGTAACAATGTAATTGGTCGAGTTCACTGGATGAAAGGTCCACTTTTAAAATCACCTATTCTTCTAATAAATATGCAATGATAAATCATTGAGTAACATTTGTGAATCATTTCACACAAACACTTCGTTGTAGAGATATTTGTCTTTGGTGTGTGATTAATACACTCAATTAACGGTACACCCCAATTCTGTTTCTTCTCGATCTGTGATGACATCTATCTTGTTCTTTGTCTCCCCCCTTCAGTGAGCCTCATGACACGCCCATTGCTAAGGCAAGAGACCTGCAGTCCGCCTCCTCGCTGGAACAATTCATGGCCAAGCTCTGTCCCCACCATCAGAGACAAATGGTAGACGCCATAGGCTTCCTGCAGACGGAGGTCAAAGCGCTGGCGTCTTCCAAGACGCAGGAAGCCTCTAACCTCACCACTGGAATCCAGGTAACCGCCTGTTCTACTGCAAAGGCCAGCGCTGTCGACGCTGAGAGTTCATGCGCCGAGCGACGGTTTCCCAGCTCATCAACGCCCAAGTCAGAAGTCCAGAGGACGTCCCATCCCAGCCAAAGCAGCTGTGCAATGAAACAAGTTCCAGAGGACGCCGTTTCGCTAAAAACATCTGCTGGCCCCGTTTTGGATCTCCGCAGCCCCGGGTCAGGGAGTCGCCGCGCTGTGGTCAATCCCACCGCCACAGAGGCAGAGAGCAACTGTGGTGGTGATCACGCCCCTCTTAAGATGAAAATCATGACCAGCAACGTTGCTGCTGGCAAGAAGCTGTCGTGTGTGCTCAACACCTCTCTTTCGTCTCACTCGGACCCCTTGGAGGACAGGCAGGGTAACTCAAATCCGTCCCACAGGACAGAGACTCACAGTGCCAGACTCAGCTCCTCTGCGAAGCGGCACAGTCAGACTAGTCACGCGCATCAAGCAAGGCCGAGAGAAACTCTGGGGTCCGCCAAAGACAAACCAGCGAACCTGTTCTCCGTCCACATGACCATTCCTTCAGACTCTCCGCGAACTGCAAGGAAGACCATCAAGTCGTCTTCTGATCATCGGATCAGGGACTCTGCCTGTAGGGCAATAGCTGACCCGGATCTCGGCAACTGTGATATCGTTTTTATTGACAAACCAATTACAGAGTGTTTTAAGGAAAAGCGGCGCGGCATGCAGCCACGCCGCAACGCCCGGAAGAGCACCAGAGGACATATGTATTCAGATGAAATCTGGGAGTTAAAAACTGTCCGCACATTGGCAGGGAGGGGCAAATGTCCTAATCCATTGCCCAAGCTCATCACATTGGTCACCCCAAAGCAAGTGCTGTCAAAGCCTGAAGGTCTGCCACCTGTAAACATGCCTTTTGCTGGAGCCTGCAGGGAGTCAGGCAATCAACGAATGTCCACGGAAGAGCGCGTGATACCAGGGACAGGAGACACTGTGGAGGTAGCAGCCAGCGACGTGGACCTTCCTGTGGAAACTAGTCAGACGGATCAGTCTCAGAGCAAAGGGCAGTCGGCTGCAGCCTCTCCGATAAGGCCTCAAACCGAAAACAAAGAAACAGCTTTGAACACCGATGTGGAACAGAACACAACCGGAGATTCAGGGAAAACTGCAGAAAGGGGAGAAAGTGTCTCTCAGGCTTCATTTGACGCAGAAAAAGATGACGAGCCCGAGCTTCAAGAGGACCTGCGTGAAAGTAATGACCGATTAGTCCCAGAAAAAGTAGTGGCACCAGTTGAAGAAGATGAGCCCCGGCTTTCATTAGTAGAAGTGCAGAGCAGTGAGACGGCGCTCCATCCAATTACAGCACCGTCACTGGTGGCTCAAGTAGAGGAAGAAAAAGAGGAAAACAATCATGAGCCAACGCAGGAGGTTCAACCAGAGTCACCGAGACACTGCAACAACTTTGAAGTCCCAGCTGAAGCCACCACAGGTTCAGCAGAGGAGCCAATGGGGAGAGAGACGGAGCTGAAAACGTCTGAAGGAGTGGAGGCGGTTCTGCCTTTAGAGAACGAAGGCGATAACGAAGACGACGTGTCGTCGAAGACGCTCGACTCGCTCTTGAAGGAATTACCCCCTTGGCGCAGAAAAAAGGGTACTGTAGTTTCGCTGCCAAAGCGGTTAAGAAAGGCCGAAGCCGTGGTAGTGGGTTTTGTCAACGGCAGACCCATATCGGCCTCCGACAGAAGTCTGCGTCGTAGATCAAGTCACAGCACCACATCGCCAAACAAAACCCCGGTGAAATCCAGCCGGAGTGTCCCCAACAAGAATTCCGTCGAGTCAGCCGTTGACAACAGGAGTTCGGAGAAACATCTACCCGAGTCAGACAGAGCTGTAAAATCCATTGAGAGTAGTACTGTGATTCAGCAGGTGAACAAACCATCGTCTTCAATACCACCAAGCCCGAAATCAAAATGTCCCACCAAGAACAAACAAAGGAAAGCTCCCAGAGAACAGGACAGTTTAACTGTCCTCTCAGATCAGCGGAAACTCCGATCAGCCAGTCAGAGGCCAGCTGGAGCGCCTCCATCACCTCCAAAATCAAATGCTGTGGTTCCAATTTCATCTCCACAACCCACTGCTACCGACTCTCATCCACCCACAGAGCAACTTCACGCCCTCCCCTTTCCTACGTCGCTTCCTGACGCTTCTCCTCCAATCAGGTCATCTTCCCCTGCAGCTTCTGAGAAGTCCCAACAGCAAGCGGTCCCAGAGACGACTGAATCAAACATCGAAAATGATCAGCCGGTAGAGACGGCAATTGAAGAAATACAAAAGAACACAGTAGAACATCAATTGCCGGCAGAACAGCAGCTGCAGGCTGCGGAGATTGTGGTAGATGACGGTAGAAATGAGCATCCTGACCGTGAGTTATTGAGTCCTTTAGAAAATCAAAGTCCCTCAAAGACTGAAATGCAATCACCGCCTATGCCATTAAGAAGTAAGCGGGTTCTCCAAAAGGAAGCAGAAGCAAGTGATGTTGCTTTGTTGCAGAAGCCAAATGTAGCATTTTTGGAAAGCACGTCTGCAAGTGGAGATGAAGGCAGTTCTTTGTTATCAGAAAAACCCAAACGAATGCCATTAAGAAGTGAGAGCAGTAAGGTTGAAATGTCCCATCAGTCCGGCACACTGTCGTCAGCCGCGAACACGAAGAAATCCGCCCTGAGATCTCAAAGGCCGGCTGTAGCCTCTACCAGCGCTTTCGCTCTGGATGAGAGACCGAGTAACGTGACTTCTCCCCTCAAAATAATTCCAGAAAGGGTAACGAAAGCTCAGGTGAAGGCCCCCCCCGTGTCCGTGGCAACTGTGTTGCCCCACACCTCAGCCACCCCGGTCCTCCCGCCCAGAGCCGAGCCCCCAAAACCAACGAATAAATTCTTTCAGGCTCTGACTGGAGAAGAAAACCAACACCTCATCACAAATCTGAACCTTAAGTATGACAAAATGCAAAAAGGCTGGGTGCAGATGGACAAAGAGGGCCAGCCGGCAGCGAAATACAAAAACAAGGCAGACAGACAGGCAGCTATATGGAAGAGTAAGCGCAGGGCCCGGAAATCCAAATCTTCAGAAAACCAGAAATACTCCCCGGTCCAAATGCTCTTCATGAAAGGTTTTAATCTCAGCAGCATTTGCCGTTGGTTCCTCGACACGACGGAGACAAAATCCCTCGTCATCGTCAAGAAAGTGAACACGCGTCTTCCGTCAGAAACCCAGCTGTGCTTCCACAGCTCATCCAGTTCAGGGACCTCTCAGGGGGTGTTTCCCAGCCTACAGGCGGAGCGCTTAAAGAAACATTTGAAGAAGTTTGCCATTGCCTCTCCAGTGAAGAGCAACCCCAGGAGTCAGAAACTGATCGCTAAAGCGCTTGAGCACGAAGCGAACTCCGAGCTGCCCAGCACCACTCAGGCCCTCCATGCCGCCAAAGCCTGTGTGCAGATGGTCGAGTCCCAGAAGTCCTCTGGTAAATCAAAGAATCCCGCCAGCGCCAGAATCCTGAGGAAATACTCCAACATCCGAGAGAAGATGCAGGTTCAGCAGACCAACGTTCGACTCAAAGAGGCCTCAAAAAGTTCAAACAGCGACGGCATGAAACGACTGGCCACCAAAAAGTCAGCCGCCAAGTCAAATCTGAGACCGCCGCTGAAGGCCAAAAAATCCCCCGTGCCTGTCGGTAAACGAATGCAAGCGTCTGCGGCGAAAATGGAGAGACGGAAAACATTGGCTGGCAAGAAAACGCCGAAGCATCCGGCTGAACGGAGGACGATCAGAGCGTCCAGGGACGCAGCCAGAGCGGACGAATTACCAAAGAGAAGTTCACAGCGGCTAGGCTCGCCTAAAACGCCGGACCGCGGCCCGGCGGACGCCTCCAAGGGCAAAGCCGACAACAAAAAGCCAACCGAGGCGGAGAGGACGGAGGTCGAGAAGCCCGCCCCGAACAAGGCGACCGCCGCCAAAGTCCAAGCGAAGGAATCGCCGCAAAGTAACCCCCCCGAGGCGAAAGGGCCCGAGGGCGCCGAAAGTCTGCAGCAGAGCGGCGCGCTCAAGTCCCCGACGCCGGCGGATCAGGTGCTCACCAGATCCCAGAGGAAAATTAATGTGGCTTCGAAGCGGCCCGCGAAGACTCAGGGCCCGTCTACAAAAAGGGTCCGGAGGAGCGAGGAGTCCGCGATGACCAGGCGGGGCACCGCCGGCGTCAGGAGGAGGCCCGCGGCCTCGGCGCCACGCGCCGCCACCAAGAGGGCCCGGGAGCGCTCGCAGACGCCGGCCAAGCGCACCAGGACATCGCTCTCAAAATGAAACGCACATTCAGAGAGAAAGAGAGAACCTGGAATGGGAGGATTTAGTCTGAATCTGTTCAGAGGGACTCGATGTATCTGTTTTCTACCCTCGCCGAACTCTTCAGAGGGCTTTTCAGTGACTAACATGTGAAGCAGGATCCTAGTTTTGAAAAGTCATTTCTGCTTTTGTAAAGCTTCCGTGTGAAAATAGAAATGCGCTGGAGTCCACTGTGACCTCAGCAGGTGTTCCAGTGTCGGCACTCTGCGACCCGGCTGGAGATGATGGCCCAACAAACCTCATTTTAGAAGTCGGAAAATAGCATTATATCCATGACATTAAATTCACTCACCATTCTGTTTTCTCACTTTTTTAGATTCAGTGCATTAACTGTTCACAGAGCTTGCTATGAGAAGGGAAATGAGCTTTTCAATACATACAATTTTGACTTATAGAAGTGGGGGGTTTGTATCTCCAGCCTGTCTTCCAATGACACGTGTGAATATGTGACTATTGTGACCTGGTGCCTTATTTATGAATTGTAAAATAACGGAATGTGTTGCTAAATGTGAATTCTCCTGTCCACAACAAGCTTTCAATTTCTGGAGAGGTAGTGAACCATACCTCTTAAAGTAAGTGCGTGCGTGCGTGCGTAAATATGCCTCGAGCGTCACCGTTAAATTCTTATCTCTATTGAGGCAGTCGAACTGCTTCCTGATTTGGCTTTATTTTCGTATTCTCGTTTTACCAGAGCATTGACGTGTTTTTGTTCTTACTGTCGTAGTATTAAATGTACATGCAGCCCTGTGTGATCTGTACGTGTCATGACACATGTTCATTTTTTTTTCTTTTATGTTCATCACTGTGTACCTTTTTCCAGTCTAGCAGCGACTTCACATTGAGTATTTTTACCTGCTCCTGCACGTGTTAAGTCTTGTTGATCTGGAGACAATTTTAGCTGCTCTTGCATTTAGAGTTGTTGCCTTTCTACAAGTGAAACCCCCCCGAACTATATTTATGTATCTGAGAAAATACTAACATGAGCATTGCTTTCCCATCCAAATGTTAAACTGAAATATGTCTGAGATACCGCTTGTATCCTGTAGCAACAATATTTCATAACCGCGAAGGCCCTGAAGAATGTTTATATTTAGTTTGTTAATTTGAAGTTAATGGTCACTTGAGCATTAATAGCAGATCAGTGACTCATTTCTTCCCAACTCATACACAAGCTGGATGTGATATTTTTGGGGTTGTCTAGTCCCACTTCTGAGTTGCAGTTTTATGTCTTTTTTTATTATTGTCACACAGATGTTCTCATATTGTGACGTTTTGTAACTTCCAGGAGTAACTTGCATTAATGTATTGTCAGTTTGTCATTTTTAGCACAGTGTTATTTTTTTATTAGGTTCATTTCTCTTAGAGGTCAAATCAGCTGTAAATGCAAAACATGACTGTCATGTTTTTATTGTTATTTAAGAACTCCATGTCGGCAAACGGAAACTAAACCAGCCCACCAAATCAAACTTGAACATGTTTATTCTTTGCAGTTGCTATTTAAAGATTTTGGTTTGTATATTAGAAAGAAATAACTGCTTTCTTTGTGTTAATCCCAGTAATGAAACATCTTTACGTTAAGAACTTTGTATTTTTGCTGGAATTGATATAAAGTTGTTGAAATTTTATCTTTGTTTCTTGGCTCTTTTTATACAAGCGTACATGTGTTCTTTTAATTCTTTAATTAGTTCAAGAAAGTAGAAAAGTGAAAGCTAAAGGGAGCTGCACACACCTGAAGCACACTGACCCCTTAATCTCGTGCCACTCAAATATTCAGTGACCTCCATGAGTATCTGAATCCACCCTGTGGACCTGCCGTAATAACCTGTCATCTGGCTCCCAGGCGAGCGTCCCGAGACCCACAGAAAACTCCCACTGTGGGACAGATTGGTAAACAGTTGGACCCCCCCCCCCCCCTCTAAAATCCATGACCCGTTCACCTCATGGTGAAATGCAGTTTCGTGACAGCGCAGTCCCCTCGATACCCGCCTTTCACGTTTTATTTGGTAATAAATATTGTTTTTATTTGGCCTGCGCTGTCGGACGGGGACCCCGGCCCCTGAGAGCGTGTGAACCGAGGGTACCTATTGACCACGCCGCCGCCTCGGATCACGACTGGTTACATCTGTGCAGAGCCACATGGTTAAGACATTTTTACCAACATACTATATTTTTTATAAGTTACGGCATCCTTTTAAATTTTTCACTTTTGAATTACTTTCTGGACATAATATACTCACAATATACTGTACTTATTCTTTTTTTATAGCTACGTTGTCACTTTAACGCCTTTAAGTATTTAAATGGGTCGCAAATGATTGAAATGGAAACCATCCATTTCATGTAATTCAAAGGGACGTACAAAATGTTCCCTGGGGCCTTGCTCTATAAAACTATGCTATGAACCATCAATCCAGGGACTCAAACTTTATTCTTCACCTTGGACACCAGAAAACACCCAACAAATCTCACACATTAAATAAATTTAGCATATCAATCATTTTCCCAAATGAAGGACTCTTCATCTCTGTGGGCTGAGAAAAGTCTTTGCTTTTACGTTTTTATAAAATAACAAATTGGGTATCAAGTAAAATATAAAAAAGACAAAACGTTAAAAGCACACACATTTAAGTTTAATTAATGAAAAAGAGTGGAGGTTTGGTAAACATTTTGTCGGTGGCCCTACATACATTCAGCATTATTGGGAGTTTTTCAGTTTAATCCCACCATCAATCCTGTAACAAAAAGTAAATAGACGCTTTTGCACCGGTTCAATACAACAGAGACATTGTGTCGTTTTACAATAACATATTTATGTAGATAGTTCATAGGATGGTAAATCTGTGTTTCTAGTCACGTGACCAGATGACTGAATTACATCTCAATATAGCACAAGCACCACTAAGATGTCTACTGGGAAGTTGAATGCACCAGTCTAGTACAGATCAGTGCGGAGGAAGGAAGGGAGGAAGGAAAGGAGACATGAAAAGAAAGCCACATTCAACTAAACACGCGCCTTTACGAGGCACACGGCCTAAGAGTTACAGTGACTGTTCATCGGTTCCCTTTATGAGATCTTCTTTTAATGTTATTGTACACTACTGGGATCACATCAACAGCATGTCAAACAAAGAGAACATGGGAAGCAGTTTGAATAGGAGCTCCGTGTTCAATGTACCGAGCTGACACATCTGGCTCTGCAGCCTGTCACACAATAAAGAGACTTTTTAACATTTAGATCAGCAAAAAGGATGAACACAATCCCAATCTGCAGGGAGAGCAATGCCTCGAACCATCCTGATGGACTGTCACTTATTGAGCAGTATGTCATCTCCATACCGTACATTGGAAACTAATTAACAGCTAAAAGTTACCACTTCATGAATAAGCATAGGTCATATTTATCTATACACATTTATACATTCAGGTATGACTGTTGTGTTCACTGTAATTGGCACTATGTCTTGTTGTTTTTTTCTTCTGCGTGTGGATCGCCAGTCAGAACTGACGGATGTTTTCTCTTTTCGGATCTGTCAGATCTCGCTTCACGCGGTTGCCTCTTCAGACACATCTAGGATGATACCTTAACACGATCATTGTCCTCATCGAAGGAATTTCATCCAGTTTCTTCTGGCTTGACAGCAGCTTATAATAAGTTGAGCTTGACTACTTTAACTCTGTGGAACTAAAAACACCTCAGGCGAACGGCTCTCAAAATAAAATGAAAGAAATACAACCCAACACTTCCACAAAATCAACGTGAAAACAATCAGAAGCCTTGAAGTGTGGTAACGTGCTACGAGGTGAAGTGGAGGAGACCTTTCTTAATCCCTCTCCAGCCACCTGCAGCAGACGAGGAATGTCTGAGCCAGCGAGCAGGAAAACACCGGCATAACTCCTGACCGAGTGAGGTTACAAATACCGTACATATTTTTATGCTGTTTTTTGTTTATTATTTTTACCTTTTTTGTTCTTTTTGAAGTTTTAGAAAATATTTGAAAGTCAGCAACATGTCTGCCTTTCACTTTTCTACAAGAAAATGCCTTTTCGATAAAATAAATAAAATCAAGCACAGACTCTCATGAATTAGATGTAATATTCACATGGAAGACAACATATACAATATTAAACATATTTCTAGACCGATACTGCCTCCTATACAACAAAGCCAACCATCTGCTGTATTTTTGGCCAATTAATGTATTTAATTACCTTGTTGAAGCAAAGTGTGATCAACAAATAAAAACACCTGGGGAACCAATCGAATGCCTTACCACCAGTTCCAAAGCTTCCAGAAACTTACTCTTTAACATAGAAAAATACTATACCAAAATGAAATACAAATATATATATATTAGAATCTGTTAGGCATTTCTATATAAAGAGTTGTTGGCGGGGCGGCTAAAGGAGTTAGACAAAATATTACATCAAATAACAAAAAAGAAAAGAAAAAAATCAATAGGAAAAATTAAACAGAACGAAATAAAAATCAAAAGATGATTCTGCAAACTTTTTTTTTTCACAACATGTCTAATGATATTAAGAAGCTCTACATATTTGTCGGCAAACTCTTCTCCACACATGCAACAGTTTGCACCAGCTTAATACTGCAGGCATCAAGACGAGCCGGGCTCAGTGACAGCCTCCCGCTCAAAGGGGGCGGGATTATGCAAATCACCCGGCCCCCTGAGGCAATCCATGCTGGGGAAATGATGACCACTGGGCGCCGCCGGCACCGGGTCGGTCAACAATATGAACAGAATACACAATACACAGGACTGTGCATTGCCGTGCGCGTGGTCGCGTGCTTCACAGACGTCTACGGCTGTTATTTTCAGTGCTGCTAGTCAGTGCAGTCTCTATTTTTGACGTCTAAAGTACCTCACGGCAAACAACTCGCGACGCCAGACCACCCGGCCTCAAAGTCACCGACATCCGCACCGCATTTATGTGCCCGCTCTAACGCTACCATTTCTCTGTCCACTTCTACCGTGTGCATGTGTGGATGGATGAGTGCGTCCCGGCAGAGAAATGACTACGCCAAACCAACAACAACAAGCTCAACACAACCCGAGCCACACGCAGCCCTGTGCAGGTGACCAGCCAAGCTCAACTCAAGACAAGCGGTCCAGCTCTACCGTGATCCCCCCCGTCTCTCTCCTCCTCACTCTCAGCCGGCCAGGACCCCGATGATCCTCGCGGCCTCCATGAAGCAAAGATGGAAGATGGTGGCCAAGTTGTCAGTGGGGAACTCACACTGGCTAATTTGGGTTGGAGGGATGCTTCACTCTGAAGGCAAAAACCTGTGAGATCTCTGGACCCCTTGGAACAATGTTGCAGATACAATGGTGCTGATGCTGCTGATGTCACCTCTACATTGTTGCCCGTGATGTTGGTTTCTCTGTGTTACTGTAGGTCACACACCCTTGGAAGGGGAGGAAATGTCCTATTTTACAAACATTGTTGTCCATAATATATAGATAGAGGTTTTATATATATTCTTTATACTCTCTCTTTTTCTTTCGTCCCCTCCGTCCGCTTTACTCCAGTCCTCTTTCTTCCTTCCTTTCTCTCCATCTTCTGCTCGGCGGCAGCGGCAGGACGTGCGAGTGAACGGCGCTACATGCAGCCCACACAGCCGCACTTGATGGTCTTTTCCACTTCCTCGCTGAAGGAGGTTCCGTCGCTGCACTCGAAGGTGTATTTCCGGCGTTTCATCCGCTGGCTGGCGCAGCAGGCCCCCGCGTCACACGCTCCGGAGCACTCCACCCAGGACACCATGCGCGTCGTCTGGCAGATGGCGTAGCCGCGCTGCACCTGGTAGAAGTCTCGCACAGGTTCCCCTCGGCATTCGGACTCTGGGAGAGATGATTAAGACCCCCGCGGACGTCAGTGAACGGCGTCAGGCTCAGGACAGAGATACGCATCTAACCGCCGGTAACAGACAGACCGATGGGAACGAAGCGCTAAATGAGGATTTGTGTGATAACCCCAATGCAAGATATTTAAAAATATTAGTAACGTTAATACACAACAGTGCGAGCGAACATGCAAACAAACACATTTTATAAGAAGTATTTTTTTTTCCAATTAGAAAATATCACAGTGCAGTACGCAGTAGAAAATGTCATGTAATGAAAATCTAGTTGTAAATCATAGTACAGCACGTTATTCTACACAACGCCATAAAGAACAGTAAAAGTATGCGTTAAAGTCAATGAGGGCTCGTGGTCCTTTTCAGTAGAACCTCGCACGGTTCCATGAACAAACTTCAGAGCGCCTACGCAGAGAAAACCCACCTGCATCACAGAGCCCCCCGGTGTAGCCGCTCTCGCAGTGACAGTAGGCCTCTCCCGTGTCCGAGATCTGACAGCGGCCGTGTTTGCAGGACAGGCGCCGGCAGGGGTTGAACAGCTCTCCCTGTTGGTTACACAGGGCGCCGCGGTAACCCTCCTCACACTCGCAGCGATATGACTGAGGGTCCAGAGGGATGCACTTTCCATGCACGCACCTAGTAACACACAGTCACGTTGATCAAATTCCCCACAAGTCAAGTAAGTTTATGGTTTGAAAGCAGTGTCATGGATTTGATGCATTGAAGGCCACCAACTACATTCACTGTTGTTGT